ATAATAATAATAATAATAATTATAATAATAATAATAATAATAATAATTATAATAATAATAATAATAATAATAATAATTACCCAATCTTTAAAATTATTTGATTCCTCCTCTTCGTCATTGGTGGAATATTTTGCTATCTCCAAACGAGTATCAATATAAGTCGCTGCAATATGATAACTCGCTTCTCCGAGAAATGCTATTAATCCTTGATTAGATGTAATTTGATGATGAGGAATTTCATTATGTGATGAACACTGAACTTCCTGAACTAAAAAAAATTAACATAATAATTATTATTATTATTAAATAATATAAATAATAAGTAAATAAATAATATAAATAATAAGTAATAAATAATATAAATAATATAATAATAATATAAATAAATAATAATAATATAAATAATAAAATAATATAAATAATAAAATAATATAATATAAATAATTACCTAATTTGACCCAAATAATTAATAATTCATCAAATGCTTCTAAACTCCAAGTACTAAAACTATCTTCAATAAAGTAACCATAATTATCTTTTACAACAACACTTTCTCTTAAACAAGTTGCACTCAATTGAGCAACTTCATGAAGAAATGTTGAAATCTCCGGAACTTTACATAAGATTGGTAATGAAATTGTACATAAGAGTCTACGTGTCATTTGTGCGATGGATAAAAGATCTGGTCCATATTCTAATGTCGAAGTTGGTCTTTCTGCTACATTATTTGAAAGACTATAATCATATAATATAATCATATAATATAATATAAGATTAATATAATATAATATAATAATATAATATAATATAATATAATAATATAATATAATAATAACAACATAAATGTAATGACTTACTTATTAATAAGTTCCAATATTTCTTGTTTCATAATAATAACATACTCAATAATTTGTTCTTCGGATTCAAAAATATCTCCATGTAATCCTGATATTTGAATCAAACATTGCCTACAATGATGAACCATGGTTTCAGTTTGTTGGACAATTTTATATATCTAAATATATATTTTATATTAAATAATATAAATAATTAAATAATATATATAATAAATCAAATAAATAAATAAATAAATAAATAAATAAATATAAATTAAATAAAAATAAATTAAATTAATTAATTAATACCATAAAAAATAATCGTAAAACTTCATTATTTATTAAATGTCCTCTCCAATTAGCCGGGAATTCACGTGTTTTAGTAGTAATAAATAATTCTTCTTCTATAATGTCACTTCCTTCTTTAGCAAATGTACCCGCTAATAATGTATCATTTTTATATGAAAAATCCCAACATAAACTTTTTTCTGCTAAACTTAATGAAAGTCCTAAAATTGCATCATTTCTTAAATCACGTTGAAGACTGGATGATGGTGACGATGAAATAATAAAATTAGAAGTAGGAGAAGTTGATGTGGATGATGATAAATGATCATGACTATGACTACCATTAATATATGTTACACCATTGGTAGTAGCTATATTATTATTATTATGATTATTATTGGTTGATATGGTAGTAGTATAAAATTGTAACTTTTGGTGCAACACTCGAAGTGTAAGTTCAAATATTGGTAATAAATATGTATTCTCAAAGAAATCTTTGCTTTTCTTATGAAAATCCCAAGGAAGTCCAACATTACTCGCTTTCGTTGATGAAAATTCATCAACTAATGAATTAGATAATCCTATTCCAATCAATTGCTAAAAATTATTTAAATAAATAAAATATATTGAATAATCTTTGAATAATTTTAATAATCTTTGAATATTATATTATATTAAACTTACACTATAACCTCCCATTGATACAAAGCTTTGAAGATCCGTTATAACTGCATGTTTTTCTCCATCATGATAATCTTCCAGACTACGTTTAATTATAACTGAAATTATATGAAGAATTTGATTTCGAACATAAGTCGCCAAGCTAATAAAATAAATTGATTAAATAAAGATAAATTAATTAAATTAAATTAAAATAAATTAAATTAAATTAAATTAAATTCAAGATAAATTAATTAAATAAAGTTAAAAGATAAAATAATAAATAATTTTATTACACACTCTGAATGTTGTAAACAGAAATTAAGCAACCAATTCCTAAAATTCATTAAATATTCTTTTAAATATAATGAATAATCTCGAATCACTGCTTCCTTTATTGCTAATGTCATATGAAACTGTACATGATGTGATTGTGTATGTTCTAAATGAAAATAAATGAAAGTATATATATAAATATGTAAATATATAAAGTAAAATAAAATATAAAATAAAAATATGAAATAAATAAAATAAAAATTTAAAATAAATAAAATAAAAAAATATAAAATAAAAAAAATAAAATATGAAATAAATAAAATAAAAATTTACATATAAAAATAAATAACATAAAATGTATAACATATAAAAAATATAAATCAAATATAATTTTTAAAATTTTAAGAAAAAAGATCGAGAGCATTTTTTAATTCATTTAAATAATTTCAATGAAAATTACAATAAGAAAATTACAATAATAAAATCAGTAAATCATTGAAATCGTTGGAATCATTGGAATCAAAAATTAAATTTAAATCAGAATTCTCACCAAGAACGTATTTACATGCTTCCAAATTCCCAGGCATTTGTTTAAAACTCATGATAATCTTTTCTCCAGCAATTCGCGTAGCTTGAACCTTTATAGATATAAATATATTTTAAAATCAAATTTTATATTTTTATAATTATTTCTGTATTCTATGTATACACATGATATATAATTATATTCATATAATTTAAATATGTAATTTAATAAATACCAAATCACATTATAAAGAAATTATATTATAAAAGAAAATATTATTATAAGAGATATTATAGAGTTATTATAAAGAATTTATAAAAAAAATATATATATTATAAAAGATATCATAAAAGATATTATAAAAAAATATTATTATACAAAGATATTATTATACAAAGACAAAAGATATTTAAAAACAAAAATAAAGAAATAATTTAAAGAAATAACAATATAACACCTGCATATCCGCACACGCCTTTTCGATTTGTAACAAAACATTTGGAAAATCCATATCGTTGTTATTAAACTACACTTTAAAAAAAAAAAAAGAACAGGAGACCAAGGAGATGGCTGAAAAAATTTTGACTAATGATAGCGAAATAAAATAAATAAATGGCAGATATATCAACATGTACATGTGTGTATATATATATTTGTAAAATTGTGACAGTCACGAGTTATTCATCTTTTTATGATATTGTACCATTTAAAATTTTATATTATTTTTCAATTCAATCTTTAATAAATCTCTTCTATTACATGACATTGAAAAGATAAATATTATTATTTATAAATATTAATATGGTATGGCAAATATAAATGATATAATAAATTGTATGTATAATAAATTAATAGATATATATATAATAATTGTATCGATGATACCAATATAAAAAAAAAATATTCCAAATACATATACATATAATTGTTATAAAGAATTTTATATGTTATTTAAGTACCAAAATCACAGTATCAAAACAATTCGATAAATAATAAATATAAGTATTAAAAATAATAAGATTCATCTGAGCATTCTCCTAAAAAATAAATCTTTTAGGCGATAAAGAGAATAAAAAGGTAACCTTAGGTGGTGGCAGAATTTTCATTATTACGAACCTTTCATCTATCAATATCAAAATAATCCCTTTTTCGATTCTTTTTTTTTTGAATAAGGTAAATTTTTTTTTTTGAGCATGTTTTAAATAAAAAATTCTTGTATACTGTGCATGTACATCACAATTTTTTTTTTTTAAAAAAAAATTAAACAATTCGTGCGTAATAACCAGATAAATTTAACTGAATTGGAATCCACCTTACTGTACGTTTTTATCTTTGAAATTTATTTAAAAAATTACTAGATAATGTACTTCTATATATCCGTCAATTTGTTGATCGGTGAATTTTACCCCATTTTGCCGCCGCATTAAATAAATATAATTTGATAATTAGTTGAAAAATTATTAACCACGTTTTATCAATTGTGATAAATTAAATATTTATATAGATTAAATTTTCATTGTTCATTAATTTAATTGCAAAAGTAATCATTCAATTTGTAAGAATATTAAATCTCTAAATCTAATGCAAAAAAAAAATAAAATCCAAAGTTTAGGGTTGTCTGAATAATAGATAATTAATATAATAATTGATAATCTGTGATTTAATAAATCATATATTTTCTTTTCAAATTTGATAAATAAGGAAAATGGAATATCAACCAACTCCTTTTCTTAGAGATTTTGAATAATGCTTTAACCGAAAACTTAAGTGGTTTATTAGATAAATTATCTAATTTCATATTTAAGATTAAAATTTGATAAAGAATGTTACATGTCTACCAATTTTATATATTCAATGATGCACCAATTTTAGAAATCATAAAGCTGCAGATGAAACCTATTTTAGAATCATTTATACCAATAATATAAATCTACATAAATAACAAGTACCATTTATGAATTGTGAATATTCAACTTCATACAACGACAGAAATTGAATATTATATTCTTATATGCATTATATTAAGTTCTTAAAAATATAATATATTCACTTAAAGTTTGTTTTTTAACCTTTTTTTTCTCTTATAACCTTTTTAATATAATTAATTCATCACAATTATTTTAAATTCAATAAATTTTATTATAATTTTAATTACTGAACAAATCATCACTTAAATGGAAAATATATATTCCAATGAAAATATATTTCGTCAATACTTGAAATTAGCTGGAGAGGGAAATAGTGATGCACAATTTAATCTTGGAATTGTTATGTACAAGGGATTGGAACCATAAAAGATGAAGAAAAAGCATTCCAGTGGTATCTGAAATCAGCTGAAGGGGGAAACCTTACAGGACAATACAATCTTGGAACTTGTTATGAAAAAGGAATCGGAACCAAAAAAAAATGAAGAGAAAGCATTTCGGTGGTACTTGAAATCAGCTGAAGGGGGAAACCATTTGGGACAGAATAGCCTTGGTTATTGCTATCGTGATGGAATTGGAACCACAAAAGATGAAGAAAAAGCATTCCAGTGGTATCTGAAATCAGCTGAAGGAGGAAATCACAGAGGACAAAATAATCTTGGATATTACTATCAATATGGAATTGGAACCACAAAAGATAAAGAAAAAGCATTCCAGTGGTACTTGAAATCAGCAGAAGGAGGAAATCACAGAGGACAAAATAATCTTGGATATTGCTATCATGATGGAATTGGAACCACAAAAAATGAAGAAAAAGCATTCCAATGGTATCTGAAATCAGCTAAAGGGGGAAACAATTTGGGACAAAATAATCTTGGACATTGCTATTGTTATGGAATTGGAACCACAAAAGATGAAGAAAAAGCATTCCAGTGGTATCTGAAATCAGCTGAAGGGGGAAACCTTACAGGACAATACAATCTTGGAACTTGTTATGAAAAAGGAATCGGAACCAAAAAAAATGAAGAAAAAGCATTCCAGTGGTATCTGAAATCAGCTGAAGGAGGAGAAAAATTAGGACAAAGTTCAGTTGGATATTTCTACCAAAATGAAATTTCCTATGCTAAAAAAAATCAAAATAAATTAAAGCATGGATATCGTAATTATGAAAATATGAATATAACATTTCCAGATTGTAAACTTGTAGAAATTCCAAAGTGGACTAGTGGTAATCATGATGTTGACAAGATTATTCAAATGACTCAATCAGATAAAAATGCTAATGAATGGGAAGTTTGGAGGTGGATAGATTATTGTAAATTAAAAAATATAAAATATTTAGCTGAAGGAGGGTTTGGAAATGTTTGGAAAGCAGAATGGATAGATATGCCTGAAGAGGTATTTAAATTTTATAAATCAAATCAAGTTGTCTTGAAGAAACTTAAAAATTCACAAGAAATTAGTTCAAAATTTTTAAAAGAGGTAAATATTAAATACAGACATCAATATATCAATTTGTTTTCTTATAATATATAATATAGTTATTTTAATTTTAATTTTTGTAACTATAGTTAACTGTAAATTTACACTGTCGTGATACATATGTTTTACAAATTTTGGGTATAACCCAAGATTCAATGACAAAAGAATATGCAATAGTTTTACGATATATTAAAAATGGAAATTTGAGAGATTTTCTTAACCAAAATAAATCCTTACCTTGGATTGAAAGATTATGGTTATTGAATTCTTTTATTGGAGGATTAAAATTCATTCATAGTAAAGGATTTGTACATCGCGACCTTCATCCTGGGAATCTTATGATAACTGAAGCATATAATAATTCAAAATATAAAATTCTAAGACTAGGGGATTTAGGATTATGCAAATTAGCAAATGAAACCTCATCATCCAAAGCATATGGTGTATTGCCATATATTGCACCTGAGATATTACAAAATATCCATATACACAAGCTTCAGATATTTATAGTGTTGGAATTATTATGTGGACCATTTCAACAGGAAAAAGACCATTTGCTAACAGAGCATATAATGCGGAATTAGCTATTGATATTTTCAATGGACTTCGACCAAAATTTAATAAAGACACACCTCAATGTTATAATGAATTGATGAAAAAGTGTTGGCACAAAAATCCATCTGAACGTCCAAGTGCTGAAACAATTTATGATATATCAGAAAAATGGATTTATGATTTATTGTATGATGATAAAACAGTAAATTCACTTATGTTTTTAAGAGCAAATGAAAAAATGCAAGATGAATATGATGATGAAGTTGAAGATTTATATTCTGTTGAAACTACTCATCCTGAAGCATACATTACAAGTAAACCTTTACCTTCTATTCATTTTAACATGCACGATTTCAACATTTCCAATATTGATATGGATCCTTTCATGAGTGTCATAAGTGAAGACTATGCCAAGATCAAAGAATATGCAGATATAAAAAGTAATTTCTTTTATTTAAAAATTTACTATTTTCAGAAGAATATACTAATTGCCAAAAAATTTTCTAATCACAACATTTAATTTTCAGATTCTTCAAATGAAAATGAACTTAAATCTGTTTCTAAGCACATTAACACACAGCATGAAATACGTAATATAACTGAAATGTCACAAACTATTGAAGTGAACCCGTCATCTGAGGAATTGACAATTGAATCCTTCTTTTTAACAAATAAGGACCTGGAAAAGTTTTTAAAGGATCAAGCTGGTATCAACTTTAATGATACATTCAACTGCATTCAATTCAACAAGCCCAAAATTACAATTAATAATGAGTCAAATATTTGGAGTGGATCATTTGATTCAAATATCTCAAATTTCCTTTCCATAGAATCAAATATATATTTTGGAACTTCAGCCACTTCACATGCTAAAGTTGGAAAACTGATTAAATTACTTATAAACAAAAAAAATAAAATTGACGAAATGTTAGAATCACAACCTGCATATATTATAGGACCTGACTTTCAAAAAAATTCCTCTGTGCCAAATATTTCCTGTTGGACTAATGAACCACTTGATGCATTGATTTTAGAAAAGCTTGAAGAATTGTTTGATGATGAATATGAAATTGTAGGTCATATGATACCAATAGGTACTGAATCATTAAGTGGGCTAATTGGCACTTCCGATAAATGTTTAACTATTAATAATGACAACAGCAATGACAACAACAATAATAATGCCGACAATAATAACAATAACAGTGATAATAATACTAATCATAATAATAACGACAATGATAAAAACAGTGATAACAATGATAATAATAATGATAGTGGTGATGATAGTAATGATGGTGATGATAATAATTATAATAATAATAACAACAATAATAATAATAACAACAACAACAACAATAATAATAATAACAATAATAATAATAACAATAATAATTATGATCTTTTAATCTCATCTGAAGTAATCGCAAAAGCTGCAGATGAGAAATTTTCAGATTTCTTTCAAGAGTTTAATATTTCTGCTTATTTCCAGGCAAAGGTCGAGGTCGATTCTCTTAAAAGAAATATTTTAAAATTTTCTATAGATGTAAATGATTGTGGAATGGGACCAATGCTTAGTGAAAATTGGCCATTACTTCGTAAACTAGGTTCTGGTTATTTTCTTAACTCCATTGAAATTAAGGTCGCTCCAATTAAAGACGAATCTATGCCTGACAGTTCCTTATACAAAATAAAAGATGGACCATGGCCACAGCAACTCAATAGAGAAATTTATATGTCAGAAATTCGTGCAAATAACTATGGTATCGATGCAGCAATCAGTAGAGATCCCGGAGTTAAAGTAAGCCACAGTAGAAAAAATGAGCAAGGTTTCAATTTTTTAATAAAAGAATGGGAACGGATTGTTACTAATGGTTGTAGAGCTGGATTATGCTGGGAATACCAATATACTACTAATGGCCTTCAAAATAATTTAAATCATAGAAAAAGCTTTGCTCCTGGTAAACATTCCTGTCATTGGTTTACCTTGAAAGCAATGAGTGGATTTCGTATTACTATTACTCAAACATTACGTTGCGAGATTACTGATTGTTGGTGGCGAAAGTTGAACCCAAATACAGGATCAAAATTGATGAAATTGTGTCCCAAGATGGCTCATACTCTTGAAATAACTTTTAATAGTCTTGAAAGTTTTAATGAAAAATTTGCAAATCTTAAAAATTCCGTAGAATTTCATGAAGATCAACTTAACATTAACATTACTGTAGCAAGAAATGCTTCAAAAATTTCAAAAATCGAAAATATTAATATCAAACGCTCAATGACAGAATCTACGCTACACTAATTTTATTATTCTTATTTTTTAAGTATGTTATTATCTTTTATAGTATATTTATATGTATTTTATTTCCCCTCATATTTAATTTATTTATCCCATCCATTAGTAAAATTCTGAATGAACTTGGATGACACTTTTTATCTCTTTCTTTTTTTTTTGTGAGATTATTTATTGTAATTAATCAAAGAGATATTTCATAAAATAATTATGCATTGTATGATTCTTTTAAATAAAATGATTTGATTCTTTCAAAAAAAAAAAATGTAATTTCCTAAAACAATTCAAAATAATAATTAAATGTCGTGTAATTTTTAGTAACAATAATGATTTCCTCAAAATGAATTAAATTTGTAAATATTATAATAAACTCATACCACTGCCGATCATTATATTTACGTTCCCCCAAACTATTAAAATATAAATAGCATTATATTTATCAAGTATTTGTATTTTACTTGTTTCGCTAGTTCTACTGTCTTAAGACATAATTAAAACACGAGTTTAATTAATACAAGTCTAATTTATCAATTAAATGGGCGTTTATTAAATGCGTGTTTAAAAAAAACGGAAAACTTTGGTAAATAAATAAATATATATTATTCTTCATTGATAAATCTTAGAACACGTTTATTTAATGAAGTGGTAACCTAAAATTCTGCAAAGAATTCCATAGAAACGATTGATCGAAGATAATGCAGATAAAGTGAATTTCATAGTTAAAATTGTGTAAATGTTTAAATTCAAGATTGTTACTCTACGAATTTTCTCACACTAACGGAGTCTCGCTCCAGTGCATCAAAAACAATTTCTAATTTCCAAATATCGAGATGGATTTATTATATCGCATGATTAACATACATCATATAGTACAGGTGTAAACGAACCTCTTAAAATTTGAGCATAAAGAGAAGTTAATTTGGAATCCAACTACTAGAATAAACTGTGCTTATTTAAAAACACAAGTTGTAGGTATTCATTATACATGTTGTTTAAATTCAAAAAATTTGACTCGATTAATGTATGGAATAAAAAAACAAAGAAATTAAAAGATAAAATAATAATGATACTTATGGTATTTGATATTAAAAAAATTTATCAAAATTTCTTTTATAAAAAAAATAAAAATATAGAATTAGCTTTATTGGGTTCGTAAATACGAAGAAAGATTTTTTTTTTTCTTAAATAGGTACTAATATCATAATATACCCGATATTCTGATTCCACAATTCTACTCAAAGGCGAAATTATTATAATTTATTTTATTCGCAAAGACTATCAAAAAGATTTCTTTAGACAAAGGTAAGAAATATTAAAAATTATAATTACCGATAATGTTTGCTAAACCACAACTGAAGCTACTAAGTAAAACTTCAAATTCTGAAGTGAACTAGTTTGATGAGTACCTTGAATTAAAAATGATTGAAAGTTATATAATAAATATCGAAATATTTATTAGAAATAGAACCAAATAATACACTTGCATTAATGTTACGAGGGGTAACTTATTTATTTTCAGAAAAAATATGATGAAGCATAAATGATTTTAATAATTAGTAAGACTAAAACCAAATAATATCTTTACATTATGGTTATAGGGGGAACTTATTTAAAATTAGAAAAGTATAATTGATGCATTAATGAATTTTGATAAATCATTAGACCAGAACCAAATAACGCTCTTGTATTAAGGTTACGAGGGGAAACTTATTTAAAATTAGAAAAGTATAATGAGGCATTAATTGATTTAATAAATCATTGGGACTAGAACCAAATAATTAATTTCACGAGGGAAACTTATCAATGGTTAAAAAGGTATAATGAAGCACTAATGGATTTTAATAAATTATTAGAAATAAGATAAATAATACTCTTGCATTAAGATTACGGGGAGAAATGTTAGAAATGTATAGTGAAGCATTAATAGATAATACTCTTCCATTGAGATTACGAGGTGAAACTTATTAAAAGCCAGAAAAGTATAACGAAGTATTAATTGATTTAATAATTTATTAGAAAATGAACCAAATAATAATTTTGCATTAAAATTACAAGGAGAAACCTATCAAAAATTCAAAAAATGCAAATACTCAATCTAGATTTACATGAGGATCTTATGGACAAATATAATGAAATATAATGAAATATTAGAAATAGACCTAAATAATTATTTTGCATTAAAATTACGAGGAAACCTATACATTAAATAAATACAAAGAATCTCTTAATAAAATACTGAAAATAAATCCGGATGATATTTCAGTAATAAATCTGATAATTGAAATACAGGAAACCAAGAAAAAATCAATAACTGATATTAAGACATAAAAGAAACAAATAGAATCTAGAATGATTCAAGGTATAACAAAAGAGTCAAGTGAGTTCATAGGCTGGATTCCATATTCTCAATTCGAAAATATAAAATATATAGGTGGTTTTGGTGCAGTAAACAGAGCTATTTGAATCAAAGATGAGAAGAAAATGAAATCAAGGTGGCACTTATTAAAAATATATATAATTCTAAAGATATAACAGATGAATTTTTGAAAGAAGTAATGTCTTTTTAAATTTTAATTGATTATATTATTTTTTTTTTCAAAATACAAACAAATATTTATTAAAAAATTTGATTTTAAAATTAAATAAGTGGTCATATCTCATGAATAATGTTTTATTATACAATATTATGGAATCCTAATACTATATTATGATAATGGAATTCATAGGGACTTAATGCTAAATTTTGATGAAATTACTTGGAAAGCAAAGTTAGAAAGATTACATTGTATTGCAACAGGGTATGTATTAATTTATTGAGTTTAATTAAATAAATGTAAATACTAGCTTTAAATTAATATTTATTCCGGAAATATTTTATTGAGATTTTATTATAATAAATTTACTTTTTAATTTAATATTATACATAATTTGAAATAATCCAAATAACTTGTAATTTATAATTTAGTCATTAATAAAAACATTGATAATTAATTCATTTCTTATACCTAATAATTTTTTAATGTTATTTTATTGAATAGAGATTTATAGAAAGTATATGTTGAATTAATTGTTATGTTTGAGAAATAGTAAAATCTTTATGAACAAATCTAATATTAATCTTCACGATTAAATAATTTCAGAGTGTAAGTACTATTGCAGTTTACGTATCACAACTTATTTGCCATGAAGATTGTGATAATAAAGAATTTGTTGTCAGAAAATTTTAATAACTAAAGAAATAAAATAAAATCAAAGTACAAAATAAAATCAAAGTACAAAATAAATCTTAAATATAAAGTAAAGTAAAATCCTGTTGTACAGAAAATTCTTTATTTACAACGGTTTTGAAAATTAAAATAAAAAAACAAATAATTGGCCAGCTTATAAATAAAAGAAACAGAATAACTTTGATATTAAATAAAATAATATTTTAAGTTGTGCAAATTAATAGAAATTACCAAACTTATTGTGTTATCAATAAAATGTCTGAACTATGGTCAAAAGCGGAAACTTGTCGAATGTTAAAAAACTATGATGAAGCATTAATTAAATTTAATAAATTTTTAAAATTCAACCTAACGATGCACTTGCATTTATATTACCTATCTAAAGTTAAAAAGGTATAAAAAAGCGCTAACAGATTTAAATAAAGTATTAGAAACAAAACCGAATGATGCTCTTGCATTAATGTTACGAGGGGAAACTTATCTATTGTCTGAAAAATATGATAAGGCGTTAAAGGATTTTAATAAATTATTAGGACTAGAGCCAGTTTGGACCTGGAGTGGATATCTATCGAATAAATCCAGCGCATATTGATACAATGGGAATTTACCCTTAAATTCTTCGATATTAAAAACCTTCTATCCAAAATAATTTGGAAACCCTACGACAGTTCCTGTCACAGCCGGTAACTTGTAATAATCTTCTTTATAGTTTTCATAAATATAATGTGACTTCCCACACCTGTGGGTCGTAACGCGAGGAGTCTTGCTACGAGGAGATGCCTGATGAATATTATTGAAGTTGCGGACGAGTAAAGGACATCTTTCAAAAACGATATGGGATTAGTGCTTCAGTCTCGAATACGGTCGAGACTGTTATTCAAACTTTGAGTATTTGTATCATATTCATTCTCTTTGAATATACGCAAGAACGTTCGCCTTGGACTTCGCCGACTAAACGTTTGGATGATTATCTACAACATCAAAGAAGCGGGCATTACGCGTTTCAAAATTACGTTCCATTTGAATAAACGCGTGAACGTGTAAACCACCGTCCGTATATTTCTCGGTAGCGACACAGTATTCCTTAATACTGTTGTTCACCGGTTCACCGCAGCTACCGCTGCCGTGAGCTGGACCAATATTATATCGCGAGAAACCGTACAGCGTGAATATGTCGAAAATACTCGCTGACTATGAAGTCTGTATCTTGAAATCGTGTTATAGATATATTTATATTCTAACCTGGCCAACGATATCGGCAACATGTGATACCGTAGTTCCTGATGCTTGCTCCAAGATATAATACTTTCGATTTAGATGAGATATATATATTATCAAGACCACCAAGAATGTCAGCAGCTAATCTCGAACGAAATGGATTCCAAACTCGATATTCTACTTTATTCCCATCTTTATCTTCTACCAAAATTCTTTTTTCCCCACAAATTGGTTCTTCAACTACGAGATTTTCGGTAACAAGAAGATTCTCTTTGCCGCGTGCAACAAAACTCCCTACATAAATAAACATCATGTCTATGTGGTTCAATGATAACTTTGAACCTCCTCTAGCTCCAAATTTACCTCTACAACTTCGATCTGAATTACCATTTCGTCCAAGTCCAAGTCTTAAACCACCTAAAAGATTATTTTGAATAAATTATATTGTAATCCTTCACGAAAATAAAAAAAAAAGTTCACTTTTAATTTACCTCCTCCTCCACGACCTGTTGTTCCACCACCACACCACCACCTCTTCTAGTTCCACCACGATTTTCCCTACCTCCACGTCCAGTATCTAATAAGAGTCAATATAATAAGAATAACATGAAATTAGTTTTGAATTGAATAAATTTATAATAACAAATTCTTAAATTTATTAATAATTATTAATTATTATTATTTCAAGAATAAATTAAAACATTGGTTATAAATCACGTGCATAGAACGGATTCTACTTGTGACTCCAACGTTCATCTAATATTGTTATAATGCAATTCGAAGCAATCGAAGAAGGTAACTATTATCATTAGAATATAATACATAATAATAATACTAAATAATGATGATAATAATAGAGAGAAAGGAGAAAAGGGAGAAGGATTTTACAATCAAAGTAATTAGCAATTTCATTTCGAAAACCAACCATGAAATTACATATCTTGGATTTCGTGATGGATTATTTAATTTTTAATTAATTAATAATTAATTACGATCTAAAGTATAAATTAAATTATAATAATACATTAGTTTCATTATTTTCATTACTGTATTTTATTTTTATTATTTTGAATAATAAAGTTTTTTGAAAATTTGATTTTTTTTATAAATATGAATAATTATTTTTTAACCTTGTTTGAATTAATCTGAATTATTTTTTTTTATATATCTTGATGACTTTTGATGAAATTATTTATGTATCAATTAGAAATGTCATCGTTATGATTTTTTTCCTTGCTTTTTTTTCAAAAAAAAAAAAAAATTATATTTCATTATAATTCAACTAAATTAAAAGTTCTGCTTCGCACTAATTAAATACAATACAGATAAATATATTTAATTACTTATATGATTATTGTATATGCATGCTTCTCCTTGATTTGATCTGAACCGTTCTTGTAATAATTTTTTTATTTAAAATTTATTATTGTTTAAAATTTAATAAAGTATAAGACAATGAAAATATCGCTTTTTCATTTGTAATAAAATAAAAATTTTTAAAAATATAAAGGAAAATTTAAACGTTTATAAGATTTTATTAATTTTATTTGAATTATATGAATTAAGAAAATATAAAAAAAAAATATATAAGAAAAAATATAGAAAAAAAATATAGGAAAAAAAAATAAAAATCACTTCCTCCTCTACAACTTCTTATATACTTTGCGACAACTCTTTTTAAACTTTCTCCACATCCTCGCTCTCCTACTTTCTTCTTTAATAACCCGCACTTCGTTCTCTCCCCAAGTCACCTTCTTCACCTTCTTCTCCACCTTCTCCAACTTCTCCAACTTCAAGTTCAATACGTATCCTTCCTTCAGGAATGGGGATCCACGCCACATCTTCCCCCATTCTTATTAACATTTCCTATAATAATAAAAAATCATTAATTAGCATAATCAAATTATTATTATTATTACATATAGATTATTAAAAAAAATATTGTTTACTTACATTATTAAACAGTCTTTCCCAGAAGAACATCCTAGCTTCGTAACTGGGGATTTTTAAAATTACTTCGGGGTCCCGGTAGTCAATGAACCCCGAACCTTCTCCAACTACCATGGCTGTTACGCCAAAAGGAGCTGAAGTGACAAAAGATTGATAAAAATTTAATAAAAAGTTTTTATTTTTTTACAAAAAGCAGTACTAAATAATAAATAAATTATATTTTGTATGTACCGCGAGTATTATTTTTTGGTTGGTTATTATTGCTAGAATTCATATTAATATTATTATTATTTGATGATTTATTTGAAGATTTGAGAGAAAAAAAATTTAAATCAAATAATTTCTTGCCGGTTTAAATATATTTTTTCTCATGTTAATACTTATTAATTAACTATCAAATCTGATGTAATAACATTAATTATTAACTATTATATTACATCAGATGATTGTTAATAATAATCATTCGCAACACAGAAAAAAAATAATAATGAAAGTTAAAAATGAGTCATTAAGCGATATGATATTATACTTTTTAATAATTACAAAAAAAAAGTGTAATTTCCTAGAAAAGTTATCATACATTCGATCAAAAGAAAGATCAGTTAATAATAATTACCATTAATTTTTATCATGGGTACCTACCCTGATTATAAATTCTTAATCGAGGCACTTAAATGGATTGAATAATAATTATTAATAATTTACTATCAAATCCGATGTAATATTACATCAGATTTATAGTTAATAATAATTACATTAGATTTTAATAGCGCAGCACAGAAAAAAAGTTAAAAATGAGATAATATGATATGATATGATACCATATCATCCTTCATATCAAAAAAAAATCTGTTAATAATTACAAAAAAAAAGTATAATACCTAAAATAATCATCATGCATTCGATCAAGTTAAAAATCAGTTGATAATAATTTGAATAGCGCAGCACAGAAAAAAAATAATAATGATAGAATTAACAATATGATATTATACTTCTTATCAAAAAAAAAATCAGTTAATAATTACAAAAAAAAAGTATAATACGATTAGAATTTCCTAAAATAGTTAGTATGCATTCGATCAAAAGGAAACCAGTTAATCATTAATTTTATCATGGGGTACCAACGGGGTGCTACCCCGATTATAACCTAATCGGGGTATTTTAATGGATTGAGTAGAAGATTAACATAATATCATGAGAATGTTAATTTAAAGTTAAAAAATTTATCAAAAGAATTATTAATTGTTCTTTATTGTTCTTTTCGGTTCTTTTTTGATATTTTTATATCATTTAATTTTATTAATTTTATTAAATTTACAATATCGATTACAAGTTAATCACATGATTTATCACTGATAAAATAAAATTGATAAAAAATAATTTAATTATAGATGATTTAAAAATAATTTTTATTACTTGATAAAAATTTGATACATTTAATTTAATAACGTTTCTTTACTGGTCATGCCACCTAAGCGAAGTTCAATACATGGTGATTATCTACTGCGCAACATGCATAGTAGCCGCTATAAAATTTGGATTGAATAGAAGATTAACATAATATCATGAGAATATTAATTTAAAGTTAAGAAAAGAATTATTAATTGTTCTTTTTTTGTTCTTTTCAGTTCTTTTTTTATATTTTATATCATTAAATTTTATTAAATTTATATTAATTTATTACAAGTTAAACAACATGAATTTTCATTTATTGATAATAAATATAATAAATATAATTGATACAAATAATTTAATTATAGATGGTTTAAAAATAATTTTCTTTATTACTTGATAAAAATTTAATACATAATTGATACTAGTCATGCGAAGTTTAATACATGGAATGTTAATGATTACCTACTGCGCAATATGCATCTTAGCCACTATCAAATAGAGTAAATAATAGAAAAGAATTATTAATTGTTCTTTTTGTTCTTTTCGATTCTTTTTTGATATTTTATTTTATAAATCTATTAAATTACAATATCGATTAAAAGTTAAATCACCAGATTTATCACTGATAAAGATCACGTGTACTAATGGGTACTAGAGCAAAGGTATTGTTTTTGATATATTTATGGTTATTTTTTTGATATATCAAATTTCATATGACAAAATAGTTATTTTTTGATGCATCTATAAATAAAACAATTATAAGCATATCAAAAAAATGCCCATTTTTGTCACACGTATTTGATGTATCAAAAAAAATAACCATAGGTGTCTCAAAAACGATACTTTAGCGGTACTAGAACATTCCTCAATATAATAAATATATAATTGATAAAAATAATTTAATTTAGCCGATTTAAAAATAATTTTCTTTATTGCTTGATAAAATTTAATACATTTAATTTAATCACGTCATGCTGATAAATTTCGACTGCGCAATCTGCATACTTTACCTCAAAAAAAAAAATAGGTGAAATAATCATAGTTAAATGTGTGTAATTAGAAAATGGATTTAGTCCAAGCACCCATTCTTTATTCTTAATAAACAACAGCCGTTTCTATACAACTAATGATTTGATATTGGTTTCTACTATCAAAGCGAATACATAATAGTCAACTAAAAAAAAATTTTTTTACACTTGTTTTTAACTTTCTAAATAATGAAAGCTCATTTTTATTTTTTACATTCTTGAATCTAAAGTGTGTTAAAAAATCATTCTTTGTTCTCAATTTTATTAGGAAATGCAAATAAAAAACTTCTGATCGAAGGAAACATTTTATTTAAATAATAATTATTATTTTATTTTTTGATTCAATTAAACAATTATTTAAACATGAATGAAAAAAATATTACAAAAATATATTTCATATTTATATAAAAATTGTAAAGAAAAAATTTCAAATTATTTAAATAATTACATGCGAGATGACCTATATTTCAGATAAAATATTTGATTGATCAAAATATTAAATAATAATGAATAATAGTCAGAACAAGTGATTTCGAAATGTTTATTTGGAATCCTTGAAAATTCTTCTTGATCTTTTATAGATATTATAGCTCTGAGTTTATCTATTTTATTGATATATATATTATTTTTTTTTATTTTAATTTTCTATTATATTTTTTGTAATTAATAATTTAGTCACAAACAGTTTGTGAATTAAGCCATTTTTATAAAACTTGATAATTAATTCATTTTTTTTATAACTAATCATTTTTAATGTTATTTTATTGAATAGAAATTTATAGAAAATAGAATACAGTATATATGTTAAATTAGTTATGCTTGAGAAATAATAAAATCTTTATAAACAAAAGCTATCTCGTCTGACATTAATCTTCACGATTAAATAATTTCTGTTGGTTCAATATATAATATGTTGCTGGCCGTGTTATGAGTAATAATTATTAACTAGAATTTCAACTACCAACTAAAGTTTAAAGTCGTTATGATTCATGCAGTTTATGTATCACAACTTAGTTGTGATGATGTTGTCACTATAATGACATCTAATACCTAAAGAAATAAGAATAAAGTTATAAATAAAACAAAAGTGTAAATAAAATCTTAAAGTTTGTAATAAAGCAAATATGAATCTGTTTTCGGCTAAAGATTCGTGCTACATAATTTTAGTCGGACTAGCAAAAGACTATTTATCCAATTTGAAAAGACTGTTCTTTTAGACAAAGTTAAAAAATTAGAATCAACGATAATGTTTTGCTAGATTGGTTACTAAACTAACAACTGAAGCTACAATAAAAAATGATCTGAAACCAATTCTAAGTTGTTATCTTTCTAAGGAAAGTTATGTGTATATATAAGAATATTTATCATTTCTCTATAAGAAATTAATCTCTTTTGTACGTGATAGTGGAAATTCTTAACCTTTTTTATTTACAACGGTTTTGAAGTTTAAATAAAAAAATTAACAAAAATTATGCCAGCATATAGACAGAAGAAACAAAAAAACTTTGATATAAATAAAATAATGTTTTAGTCGTGCAAACTTATAAAAATTACCAAACTTATTCTTTGACTGTGTTATTAGTCAGATGCCCTATCATGATGAAAAATTGCTGTACTTTAATGAATTAATAGAAATAAAACCAATAATACGCTTACATTAAAGTTACGAGGAGATATTTATCCAAAGTTAAAAAAGTATAATGAAGCATTAATGGATTTTAATAAATCATTCGGACTAAAACCAAATAATATTCACGTATTATGGTTACGAGGGAAACTTATCTAGAATTAGAAAAGTATAATGAAGCATTAATTGATTTTAATGAAATTCTGAAAATAAATCCAGATAGTATTTCAGTATTAAATCTAATAATAGAAACCGAGAAGAGCAAAATCAAATTAATAATAATAGATACTAAGAAACAAAAGTAACAAACTGAATCTAAAATGGTTCAAGGCATAACAACAAAGTCAAGTGAATTCGTAAGCTGGATTCCATATACTCAATTCAAAAATATAAAATATATAGCAGAAGGTGGTTTTGATGTATTAAACAGTGCTATTTGGATCAAAGATGAAGAAAATGAAATCAAGGTGGCACTTAATAATCTACATGGTTCTAAAGATATGAATGATAATTTTTTTGAAAGAAGTACGTCTTATCTATTTAAATTCAATTAATTTAAATTTTGATTAATTTTATTATTATTTTTTAAGATTTTATTAATAAATTTGATTTAACGGTTAAATAGGTAACATCTCATGGAATAACAAATTCTAATGATTTTATTATACAATGCTACGGAATTACAAAGATCCTAATACCAATAATAATATTATGGTAATGGAATTTGCAGAAGATGAAAATTTGCATAGGGATTAATGATAAATTTTGATGAAATTACTTGAACAATCTGTATGATACTTCGACAAATTATGTATATGGAGTAATTCCTTATGTTTCTCCTGAAGTATTTAAAGATTTATCATATAGTCAAGCTTCAGTATATAGTTTCGGAATGCTAATGTGGGAATTTACATCAGGTCATAAACCATTTTTCAATAGACCTCATAATTCTAAACCCATCTATAATATCAGAGGTGGATTAAGACCAGAAATTACTGATGATACCCTAGAGCTGTTTAGAGATTTAATGTTTAGATGTTGGGATTTATTCAAGCTGAGCAATTAAGAAAAATTCCGTTGAATTAAAATTTATGGAAGAATGAGAAGGAAATAATTATAGCAGTTATCATTCAGAAGCTATTTACACAAGCAGGCCTTTAAGCCCTATGATTGCACTATCTAAGTTGCTGTTAATTGGTAGATTTTAATTTATGTTGAAAAAAATAAAAATAATTTCGATTGCTAATAATACAGTAATTAATTTTTTGAAATTTTATAGGTTACAAGAAGGTAATTTATATTTTAATTTATATATTTTTTTATTTTAATTTATATATATATTTTTTTTTATTTTAATTTATATATTTTTTTATTTTAATTTTGAAATTAATATTCCAAGTCATTAACACGTATTTATAACATCTAATATAATATTTTTACAGTTAAGGATTATAAATCAGGTCAAGAAAATTTTGAGATCGACTTTGTATAATATTCTGATTGATTAGAGATTTTATTATTTTTATTTTAAAATTATATTTATGTTTTTTATTTTTTATTTATAAATAAATATTATTATATATCATTTTTTAACATGTGAAAACCATATTTGTCACCAATAAACCCCATGAAGTGCGTTAAAAAACAACGTTATTCCAAATTTAAGAATTTACGTCGATTTTCATAATTATTTTTCCGATTTTTTTATATATAAAGAAATTTTCTTGAACCTTTATTTATTTTATTTATTGAAATTAGATAAAATATGTGAATTTTAATAAAGCGACAACATTTATTATTTATAATATATTAAAATGCATGTAAAAAAAAAAAGGTGTGAAGTGTTTTTGTATATGTACTATCTAACTATATACCCTCTCATTATTTGTTATCTAATATCACAAAGAGAATAATATCTAATTACAATAATAAAAATAAGTATCTAACAACAAACATCAAGTTAATAATATAATACATTTTTTTGGTTGAGGTTTGATACATAAAGAGAACGAGAAAATAAAGGAATAAAAGCGAAAGAAAAAATAAATAAAATAATTAAGAATTAAAGAAATAAGAGATTTTAGATATCTTTTCTCTCGAAAATAAATAAAGATCTATTTTACGCCACAAAGAGAATTAAAAAATAATAACAATAATAACTTATTGTAATAAATAACACAACAATAACGTAATAAATAACAATAACCTTATATTATTAATTTATAATAATAAATAAAAATTAATAATCAATTAATAATAAAATTAAATAAATAAATAAATGATAAATAAATAAGAAATAAAATAATGTTTTTTTTTTTTTTTTTTAAAAAGTACGACCCCATCCAGCATATTTTCTAGCAGCTTTTGCACCTACCAAGAAAACAGTTTCCCAATAAAAGATCAATTGAGCCACACTTTTTCGTCTATTCCATTCTTTACCACAAATATGAAATTTTAAACTACTTTTTTGATTGCTATCACCGTCACATGGTGAATAATTATGATTAAATTTAATTTCGAATAATGAATCCAAAGAATTTGAAGTATACGGAAAAGTTTTACTTCTTGAATGAATAAAATGATTATTATTACTGATATTATTGTCATTATTATTTATAATATTATCGTTAATATTATCGTTAATATTATTATTGTTAATACTCCTATTAATGTTATTGTTAATGTTATTATTATTATTATTGTTGTTGTTGTTGTTGTTGTTGTTGTTAATTTTTAGATCCAAATCATTTATGAGAATACCAATTCCAGTTCCACCACTACATGAAGAATAAGTAGAAGTTGAAGATAAAGGAGAATCAATAGAACCAAATTCAATAATTTTATGAGATGGTTCAATAATATGAATTTTTAAAGGATTAAATATATTATTTTGACCAACTAGAATGGAACATGATCGTTGACGTGATTTGTTTCGAATGATTTTAGCCACGAATCTAAGTTCACTATTATCCACCATCGGAAAGATTTTTATTTGCCAGAATAAAATTTGTGGAGATAAGATAGAAGGAAGAAGGTATAGAGGGGAATGTTGAGTATAATGTAGGAGAGTGTGGGTGTGATAGAGTGATATAAGCGAAGAAAAAAAAAGTGGTTGGCGATAAATAGAAAAAAAAGGCAGATAAGGAGAGAATGATATAAAGAAGTGCGATAGATAGGATGAAAAAATAAATATGAAAAGTAATTTAAAAAAAAAAAAGAAAGTGAGCGAATAAAAATAATTAAAATAATTAAAATTATTAAAATAATTAAAATTATCAAAAAAAATCTCTAATATTTTAAAAAGAAAAATCCACAAAATGAATAAAATTCTTACAAAAGTTGTGCATTCAATATATTTTTTTAATTTTCATAAAGAAAGAAAAAAAAGGTTACTCTGAAAGTGAAGTTGCGTAACTCAATTTATATATAATTATTATTCACTAAACTATTCCCTCCTTCAATTTTTATATTTCTGTTGCACCAACATTAAATATTTATTAACGTACATTAAATATTTATGTTATATTATATAAAGATAAATATGAAATAAATTATTATTTATAAATATTAATACATACATATGTACAACTTATTTTTCCGTTCAATTTGTCGTCGAAGATGCAAAGTAATGTATTTAGCCAATGAAATTTTCCCCTTAAATAAAAAAAAAAAAATTATGCACTTTTATTATTATAAATTAAATTAAATTAATTCAATCTTTAAAAATCTCATTAATTGCAAAATTTGGTTTTTAATATATGCTTAAATATATTGCAATGATCGAATTTATTTTATTAGACATTTATACTATATATGTGAGTAAATCAGTATATAATAACTAGAATTATTTCCATTGTTCTTTATTCATTCATTTAACCATAATTATGTCTTTTATATTAGATAACGTGATATTTGCTTCAACGAGAAAAACATTAACAATCAACATATAATTTGTTTTTTTTTTTGTTTTTTTTTCTCCTTGTTATCAGCTAAAAATTTTTTTTTTATCTTATCATGATTTTATGAAATTATTTAATATTACTTAATAGTCAGTAAATCAAACAAAAAATAAATAGATAGACAGTATACATAGTTTATATTAATGTTTTTTTTTCGCAATAGATCATTGGATTTAAACTATCACGTGCGCATAATGTATAATTTATTTCGGGAATATTTAAAATACATTAAATTATCTTAATGACAAATGTTATATTTTCACGTCTTAAAAAATAAAAATTTAGATGTTTACGTGTGTGTGTTATGTACCGTATGTATATTATAGAAATTCTTTTTTTTTTCTTAATTTTCCTAAAAATATTTAAATACAACTTAAATAATAATATACAGTTTAAATAATACATATAAAACAAATATAATATAACAATATAAGAAATAAATATATAAAAATATATACACTTTTATAAAATATATAAAATATATGATATTTAGGTATTAAACGATCGGAATATACCATAAAATAATTTCTCCTACGTCATAAAAAAAAAATCAAAGAACGATTAAACTGTTAGAAAAGTATTTGAAAATGATAAATAAAATATTTTTATCAAAGATTTAATACATACCCAAAAACCCCTTCCTCCATTAATTGTTTTTAATACTTCATCAGCGCGTTTTATAGCTGTTTCGTAACCATTTTCTCCTGCTTTAGTGTACCATTCAATAGCTTTCTCTAAATTTTTTGTTGTACCTCTACCATATTCATAACAAATTCCAAGTCTACATTGAGCAGTAGCATATCCTTTCTCCGCTGATAATTCGAAATATTTAAATGCCTTTTCTGGATTACTCGGAACACCAAATCCGATATCATAACACCATCCTACATTATTAAGTGCCGACGTACAATCTCGTTCAGATGCCCTTTGAAAAGCTTCAAATGCTTTTTGTGCATCTTTAGTTGTTCCGTGACCTTTGTAATAACACCAACCTATAAATACTTCGTTACGTGGATCACCCAATTCTGCTCCTTTGGAATAATATTCAAATGATAATTTTAAATCTTTCGTTTTACCAATTGCCAATTCATTCATAAATCCCATAACGAAATAATAATCTGCAGTGTTCGATACATTTTCTTCAAATATAGTTAATAAATCTTTAGTTGTAATTCCCTTCTCTTGACATAAAATTTCAATTCTTTTACTCAATAAATCGTTAGAAAGTTTCTCCCAATCATTAAATAAAGTATAAACTTCATTCATCAATTCTAAATTAGAATGAAAAGTATCATAATTATCTACATTTAATTTTTTTAAATTATCCAAATCATTACCACCACCACCATCATAATCATCGATAGAATTTGGTTCATCATTAATAATAATACTTTTACGATCAATAGATTGAATTGATTTGTGATTAGTGGATTGAGATGATCTACGAGTTGATGATCGAGTTGATTCACGATCAATGGGTTTTTTATTATATTCGCTTATTTCAATTGCGAATTTTTCAAATCCTATATCATCACTTGTAATAGGTGATTCAATAGATCTTAAAGTTGAATCTCCAGACGTTGAAATATTATTTTCTTCATCTGATTCCAAATCATCTATACTTAAACTATCTAAACTGTCTATCTTTGAACCTTTTGAATTTCTACGACTGGAAACTTCTATAATTATAAATATTCCATAATAAATAAAGATCAGAAAGGATAATTCATGAAATTGATTATTCATTATATAAAATTCAACTTACCATATTCTTCATATTCATCATCTTCTTCATTATCATTATCTTTATCTTTATCACTTTCTTCTCCTTCTTCATCATCAAATAAACTTTCCAATTCAATTCTAGCGCGTGGTAAATCAATTCTTTCTTTCGGATCAAATTTTGTTAAATCAATTATAAGTGAACAGTAATCTTTTGGTGTATCTTTTGGTAATTGCGTTGAAAGGTATAATATCGAATTCAAATCTCTTTTTTGTTCTTTGATTTCTTCTATATCAAAATTTTCATAAGGATGTTCACCATCCTTGGCAACTAAAATATTATGATCATAACGTTTAAATTTTAAAAAAAAAAAAATTTTTTTTTTTTTTTTGAAATATAAATTTGAAATAAATTTAAGAGACAATTTACCTGACCATAAGATCAACCCAAAAGAATAAATATCTGATAACTTTGGAGAACTATAAGAATATTAAATATTATTATTAAATATATTAAATAAAATTTTATGTAATATAATTTATCAAAATGTTTACGATAATTACTTTCTAAAGAATTCAAGCATTCTGGCATCTCTGCTAACACGTTCGGGTGCTACATAATTCATGGTACCGCCCGCTTTACCACCATCCAAAATCATTCGACTTTTTGTTAATGAAACTCCAAAATCCGCAAGTTTAGGTACTAATTTATCATCCAATAAAATATTCTCGGGTTTTAAATCAAAATGAAGAATATTATTATCGTGACAATGCATTAAACCAAGTAATATACTATGGCAAACTTTAGCTTTGAAATTAAAATTTGTGGTGTGAGTTCTAAGATAACTTGAAAGATTTCCATTTTTTGCGTATTCCAATACCAAAGAAAAAGAATAACGATCATCTCGTATTACTCCATAGAATTTTAATATATTATGATGATTTTGTAATTTCGTGTAATTACTATACTCTTTTAATAATATATCGATAGCACTCTGTTTTTTATCCACGACATGTTAAAAATAAAATGAATTTTAAAAATGAATTCCAAATATATATATACACACAAAAATATCAGTATTTTACCTGACTCTTTTTTATTACAACGGTTTTATTTCGAAAAGTGGCTAAGTACACTTCTCCCATAGCACCCCTTCCAAGAATTATTGGTGGCTGATTTAAAGTAACTTTATTTTTCTTTATTAATATTTTATTTGACATCTTGTTACATTAGAGAAAATTGGAAAATAAAAAAAATAAAAAAGAGCAATAATTCTCATCATTATAGGATTTAGATGGAATAAATATGGAATTATTATTGGATATAGCTGGAATGGGCGGAAATCAATGAGAATGTTCTGGGAGGTAAAAATTTATTAAAAATCTTTTTTATACACAAAGATTGCCCGAACGCATGAAAATTTAATTTAAGAGGAAGTTGATGGAGCAATTTAAATGCATAATTCGGATCTCGTGATAAAGTGCATCTTATTATAATTATATTGTGTGAGAAAAGAATCTTGAAAGAAAATTATAAACAAAAATAATTAAATTTGTAAGAAACGAATTCTTTCGATTTGGGTTAAAAAACATCATCAATTCATCGTTTTATTAGGAAATTTTAGTTTCGGAAAAATTTTTTTTTAATCATGCGAAATTTGTTGGTTGCTTGCATTTGTAATACTTTGATAAAAACAATATTGTCTTTTTTATATTATTGTCCAATAAAAAAATAAAAAAAAAAGTTATTTTATTTATCATCACGAGTGTCAGGAATATGGAAATATTTAAAAGAAATTAATAATTTTTTATTGTAAACTATGCGAAAGATTTCCTGGAATCCATTGGTTGTTCTTTAAAATTAGAATTCTGTTCTAAGATTCCACATTTAAATATTCAAAACTTTGATTGCCTATAAAAAATATAAATCTTCAAGATTTTAAATATGTTGTTGAATAATATCAAATATATGAAAAATCCCTTTCTTCCTCTTCTTATTCCTTCGCTTTAGTAGGCATAAAAATTTATATGATATCTGTAGTTGTAAAATATATAATATATTTACCAATAAAGATTTATAAAAATTTTTGTATTATATTATTCAATTGCAGTAATTAAAGTAAAAAAAAAAATTTATTATATAATTAGCTACGCTACAGTATATATAGAGGAGGCATTAATTCCTGATACAAGAATATAAAGGAAGAATCAGGTTCGTTGCGTTGAAAAGAATTTTATATTTGGTTCGAAAATTATAGTTTGTACACAAAATCAAATAAGAAAAAAAAAACGAATCGATATAGAATTGCTAGAACGTGTGCGTGCGTCTATCAAAGTTCGTTGATGAAGTGAAAGGTATTTTAAAAAGAACATAAATTTGTTCGAATTATTTTCGTTTTTTCCCTAATTTTTTGTGTATTTAAATTTCATCAATTTCTGAGAGATTATGTCTTCAAATAACAATTAGTAATTATTTCTTATTAAAAATGATGAAAATACTTTAGAAAAAACTATTGGTTAATTGAATCTTTAAAAATACTTATTATCAAAAATTATTATTTTATATTATTTAATAAAGAAAAATATATATTTACCATATCCATTTGGTTCTTTTAACCAAGCTTTTTACATATATTTTTATTTTCATTTTTTTCTGTGAGTTCACTTTCTTTATGAATGAGCTCTTCTTCTATGTGCTTTTTCTCGTCTAATGAAGCGCAGTATTTAGAAAGTGAAACATGACTAAGCTCAAATTTCAATCCGTTAGGATCTTCCCAAAAGACTTTTATCGTAGAATTTTTTTTTAGGAATTTTTTTAGAATTTTTTTTTTTTCACGGTTCAAAAAAAAAAAATTAAAAGTTTTCTCACCAGCATAATACCCAGGTACATAATGCTCTTGAGGTACATCTAAAACTTTATATTTTTTCTCCACCAAGAAGTCATGAAAATCATCAATTTCTTTTCTACTTGTGGCGTTTAGTGCAAGGTGGTGAAATCCCACAGAATATCTATTATGTTTTTCATTTTTATTTTGAGATTGAGCAGGTATTATCGCGATTCGCCCTACTCTGGGATGTAACCAAGAAGCATAGAATTCTGTTTTAATTAATATCTTATAACCTATTTTTTTTTTGTAATAAAATAAAAAGTGAGATAAAAATATTGTTGGTTAAATTAATTTAAAAAATGAGTAAAAAATTCATACCAAGTCTTGTGAGAACGGAATCGTAAAATTCGACACACTTTGGATAATCATTAACACAAAAGCTTATGTGATTTAAAGTTCCTAAAGGAGGTTGAAAAGAATCTAAATTCATTATTTTTCCTTATAAACAAAATTAATCTCGCGAGGAAATTATAGAATTCTAAACGAAATAGATTTTTTTTTTTTTTTTTTTGAGTTAATATTTTTTATAAATAATTTATATAATTCTTTTTCCTAAAACACGGTAATGAACTTAAATCCTATGATCTACATCTTGAGGCAAATAAATACTTTGTCTAATTTTTTTTTTTCAAACCATTTTTGGGATCAAGGAACCATGAATTTCTGGGCCAGGGAACAAACTGTTTAAGTATGTACAAATGCAATTACCCACGTTTTTGAACATAAAAACTCGTTTATACCTGATTTAAAATAATAATAAAAGAAAATAATAATCTTGGGTCAAGTACCTGAGATCATGTAATTCCCATTTTGTCATGAATATTTACATATGCATAGCCGAACACAATCAAAAACATATTTGACATTTCCCAAATCAATTTAGTTAATTTAGTTCGTTTTTAAGTTATTTACAAAAAACCGTTCAAAGGAATATGATCTCGAACCTATGATAATGACATTTGCTCCAACGGAAAGTGATTTTAAATATTCTTTTGTTTAAGTTGGTGATTTATGATTTATGCTTAAAATAGTCAAAATTAACGATATTTTATAGGCCGATCTTGATTTTTTGTGAATTTTTCTAGAAATTTTTTTTTAAAGAAAATCCATTATCGATATTTAAAAAGAAATTATTTTTGTAAAAAATATATACGTAGAATGACGTTATAAATTATTATGATACCCAATTTGGATTCATCATAGAAACATCACCCATTTTTTATAAATTCTTTAATAAACATAAAATGAAAATATATTAATAAATAATATATATATATATTATATTAAAATTTACAAATTACGTTGGGTAAAATTCATAAAAGTCTAATTTCAAATTTTATTTTCCTTATAATTCTTGAGCGAGCATATTTTCGTTATTTACGTATTGCATATTTCTCCTGGCTAGACCGTATCTTGTGACACACTTGATGTAGCAGACCAGTTGTTATTTCATAACAAATCAAATAAACATTTCGTCATTTCGTCATTTCGGCACTACTTTCAAGGGGCTTACATTTTTCGAATTTATTTTTAGAACATGATTTTTTTTTTATCGAAATTATATACATTAAAATATCCAGAATAAATCATTAAAAATTATTTAAAAATGATTTTCGAGATTTTTATCATATGCATATTGTAAACAATCTTATTTATTTTTTTTTTTTATTCTGAAAATTTAAGTGGATTAAAATATATTGATCGCATCAAATCAAGATATTTTATTCTATAAGATTTTTATTCTTTAGGGAAACAAGAGATTTTGAACAATAAATTCATTCACACGATATTTCAAAATACGACTTTTAAACAATCACATATCCCTTGTTATAACTCTAACTCGTATTACAATAGGGCGGAAACAATATAAAACTGATACACCAAAGACAAAAAGGCAATAGCACCGATCTTTATGTCACTATTTTCATGTCCTCGTGATTTTTTTGCATAAGATGATGATAATTAAAAATATATATGTTTTTTTTAAATTGTTCTATTCTTATCTAGTATCTAAATACTGTTTATATTATTAAATTATGGATAACAAATGCGTGTTATATCATTTCACCGCGTTTTACAGATATAAGGCACAAGTTTTACTTTTTTCAGCCGAGCTTTTAAAGACAGTTGCAGTTGTTAGTTTAGTAATTCATCTAGCGTAATGCATCTAGCGTAATGCTGGTTTGATATTATCTTTAATTAAATATTATCAGTCATCTCTGTTTCAAAGAAATTTATTTACTATAGAATAAAATATAATAATATAGACTCTGAATGGTATAATGGTTTCATAGAATATTCGGTAGAATTTATCTTCCAAATCATATTATATTTACCGAACAATATTTACAAATATCGTACATAATAACCAATTACTCTAAATTAAAAATTATCCATAATAATAAATTTATATAAAATTGCCGACTTCTCAATTAAACACCACGCTTATTACTGGTGTTGAACTCACTAGGCAATTATTCAACTCTTTTTTTTTCATTTAATGTTCTTTACTACCACTTAGGATTTTTCAACTCTTGGTTTTATTACTTTACATTGATTTTACAATTGTTTTGCATATGTTATGCAACTTTCTTATATTATATTTATTGTACATAATCCGTTGGTTAGTGCTTGGACAAAAATTATTTATTTTAAATGTAAATAACGCAATACTTTATTATTAATTAAAGTTATTACAAAAATCAATTATAAACTGGTTTAGAGTGCGGACAGCGTGGACGCGGAGCTCAGAGACATAAAATGTACAACACTAATTGAATTGATAAGAAAGATTAAAATATTGGATAATATTGTATAGATTAACTTTTTTTTTTTTTAATATAAACTTTGTTATAAACTATAAATTTATTAAGTGCCTTGCATTACCAGACAAGTAAAGCATCCTGACTTAAAAAATTTACAAACCATTAAACTGTATTGCTCCATATTTCTATTTTCTCACTTTATACTTACCTTGTGCAAACTCCTTTGTTATCACACCAGTCAGTATTATCAAGAGACACCACTTGGACCAAAATTTTATTATAAGTCATTAATTAAAGTTATTTTTTTGCATATATTTATCGAGTTTTAATATATCTTTATAAGCTAGTTAAGGGTAAGGACAGTGCGGACGCGAAACATGGGGACAGTAAAAAAACCCCCCGGGGGCATTCAAAATATACAATACCGAACAGTACCCATGATATTAGGGTCAAGTTTATTTTTCTTAAATTTTCAATGTTTACGAATCGAAATAAATCGTCCAACATCATATTCAAAATATTAAGATCTGATCTTCATCGTTTACACCTTTGCAATGTCCACTACAGCCTGAGAAAAATGATAACAAAGTGGAAAATAATAGCAATAAGAAAAGGAAAATTGGAACAGTTTGACATTCTCTTTAAAAATCAGAAGATCTAATTAGGAGTATAAAAATTCAAAATAAAAACATTGTCGAAATTTGGAGAAATATTTTACTTTTTGAATTTTAACTCGACTTGTTTATAATACTGTAAAACATGATATTAAAAAATTCTTTCTTATTTTCGTAATTGACATCATGAATGTATTGACAATGAAACATGGACCTTAATTAAAATTGTACCTTATAATGTCATGATAAGCAATAAAGGAAGTGATACAAGCTCAGGAGCTTTTTATCAGTATAAACTGAGAGACACAGAAGCAAGGACAATCTACTTCATTTTTGTACAGAAAAGAAATCATAGTTATTTGTGTAAAAAGATCTTCTATTTTACCCTCGCATGTTATTATAAATGACAATGGCAAGAAGGATCAAACAAAGCTATATAAGAATACGAAAATTGACCCAACCTGAAAGGAATAGTAAGATTCATAAAAGCTTATTTGACTCTGTCTTGCTCTTGATGACTTTATATCTTGAACAACTGCATACAAACAAAATTCTATGTGACGTGCACGGGCGCAGATGCATCTTCAAAACAAGAACCTTGTAAATGAAATCTATAGGAAAAGCTCTGTGGCTCTCACATCACATACCTTTAATGTTATCATTATTCCTAAATTTAATGGAGGAGAAATGGGAAAGAAGTTGTATCGGAAAATTATAATAGATAAGTGATGACATGAGCACGCAAGATTTAAGGAGAGACTTTGTCAAAAGAGGAAATAAGTGTTCATAGTCTGAGGCATGTACAAACAAAACGTGGGTGAATTCATAAGAAATTAAGGAGGATGTAATCTATCCATTGATAGATATATCAATGGCAACAAAATTGGTGATTCAAATATGATCGGCATAAATTCATTATTATATTATAATTTGGGCAAAAAAAATCCTGATAAAAATTGTCTTTAGAATTATATAGATTTTTAAGTGTCATTTTATTTTGTTCCTCTCAAAATAGCACTTCTGCTATATATTTTTTATTTTCAAATCGAGTATATGGAAATCCAGTTTACGAACTATTCTCTATTTTTGGTTATACGGATTTATTTTCGATACTTGTTAAATAATCAAGTGACTTTGTATTTTAGTAGCCTGTATGTTTTGCTATAATGTTAATGTAAAATTATTATTTTGTTCTTTTTCTAACAAATTATTAAACTTTTTTAACAATAGCTAAGCTTCTCGCGACCTTAATGCAAGAGCATTATTTAGTTCTATTTCTAACATTTCATTATACTTTACTCTGATTATATTTTTAAATTAAATTATTGTGTAGCCAGACGTAACTATTTCTAACTTTATATTACATATAAACTAAAACTTTAGCTTTATCTAATAAACATTTTGACTTTTAAATTGCAAGAAAAGTATTTAGATATCAAAATCGATTCCAAAATTTTCTTGAACTGATTTATAATAATAATCTGGTCTAAGAAAATAAAATTATAAATTACCTTCTGAAACAGATTCTTTGCTTCCTGGATAAAATTTTAAAAATTTAAATTAAGTTTTTATATTTATTTTAATTTTTTAAATGTAAATTGAATTGAAAACTTACCAATCAACATCAACTTGAACTTTTCAATTATAGAATTCAAAGGTCCACTTCTATAAGAGGCTTCTGAGTGATAATTTCTATAATTATTTCTCCTAAAAGTTTTAATTCTAAAGAAATTTTCTCAATTTTTCAGCTTGAATAAAATAATCTTGATTTTCTTTTCCTCAACACCATATATAAAATTGCTTTCTAATTTCTTTTATATTTAGTCTATTTACTGGATTTGAATCCCAACATCTCAAAATTAAAAATTACTTCTGGAGTATCAACAGTAATTCTTGGTCTTAATCCACCTCTGATATTGCAAATGAGTTTAGAATTATGAGGTTTATTAAAAAAAGTCCTAAGACCTGATGTAAATTCCCACGTTAGCATTCCAAAACCATATATATCAGAAGCCTGGTTATAGGATGAATCGACAAATATTTCAGGAGTAACATAAGGTATTATTCCATACAATTTGTCGAAGTATCAATATTTCTACATAATCCTAGATCAGCTATTCTAATTGAACCAAGAATTCCATTAACTCCCATCAAGGTGAAGACGTTTCCAAATGAAGATCTCTATGTATCAGTCTATAATTATGAATTTGTTCAATTCAGAATCGATACATAAATAGATGTATAAGGTAGAATGAATATATATATATATATAGTAATTTAAAGTTAGAATTTACATTTACTTAATTAAACTTAATAAATTAATGCATACCCGGCTACAATACAATATAATCTTTACTTGACAAGTAATTTCATCAAAATTTAGCATTAAGTCCCTATGCAAATTACCATCTTCTGTAAATTCCATTATCATAATGTTATTATTAGTATTAATGTCTTTGGTAATTCCATAGAATTGTATAATAAAATCATTAGAATTTGTTATTCCATGAGATGACCTGACCTATTTAATTTTAAAATCAAATTTATTAATAAATATTTCGGTTGTATTTGAAAATTAACAATGATTAATTAATTTAATATTAAATAGAAATACTTTCAAAAAATTATCTGTCATATCTTTAGAATTATGTAGATTTTTAAGTACCATCTTGATTTCATTTTCTTCATCTTTGATCCAAATAGCACTGTTTACTACACCAAAACCACCTTCTGCTATATATTTTATATCTTAAATTGAGAATATGGAATCCAGTTTATGGAATCCAGTTTATGAACTCACTTGACTCTGTTTATATGCTCTGAACCATTCTAGATCAGCTTGTGTCGTATCAGTTATTGAATGGTTCTTGCTTTTCTCTATTTCTATGATCAAAATTATTACATAAACTTCACCTGAATTTATTTTCAGTATTTTATTAAAATCATCAAGTGATTCTTTGTATTTATTTAGCATCATATAGGTTTCCCCTCGTGATCTTAATGCGAGAGTATTATTTGCTGAATTTCTAAAGATTTATTAAAATCTATTAATGTTTCATTATCTTTTGGTAGGTTTCTCATCGTAGTCTTAATGCAAGAGTATCATTTGGTTCTTTTTCTAATAAATTATTAAATCTATTAATGCATCATTGAACCTTTCTAACAATAGATAAGTCTCTCCTCGTAGTCTTGTATTAGTTGGTTCCGTTTTTAATAATTTATTAAAATCTGTTAATGCTTCATTGTACCTTTCTAACGATAGATAAGTTTCTCCTCGTAATCTTAATGCAAGAGTATTATTTGGTTCTTTTTCTAATAGACTGTCAAAGTCTGTTAATGCTTCATAATACTTTTCTAACAATAGATAAGTTTCTCCTCGTAATCTTAATGCTAGAGTATTATTTGGTTCTTTTTCTAATAAATTATTATAATCTATTAATGCTTCATTGTACTTTTCTAACAATAGATAAAGCTTCTCCTCGTGACCTTAATGCAAGAGTATTATTCTATATCCAATAAATCATTATATTTGTCAATAATTTCTTCATGTAAATCTAGGTTAAAAGTATTATTTTGGTAGAATTTCTAAATATTTATTAAAATCTATTAATGCTTCAAGCTTCATTATGCATTTTTAACTTTTGATGTATTTCCCCTCGTAACCTTAACAATAAAGCATCACTTGATTTTAATTCTAATAAATCATTAAAATCTATTAATATGATTTTCTCTTCGTAGTCTTACCGTAAGAGTATTATTTGGTTTTATTGCTAATGATTTACTAAAATCTGTTAATGCTTCATAATACTTTCTAACTTTTATAAGTTTTTCCACGTAGTCTTAATGCAAAAGTATTATTTGGTTCCTTTTCTAATAAATTATTAAAATCTGTTAATGCTCCATTACACTTTCTAACTTTAGATAAGTTTCTACTCGTAGTCTTAACGTAAGAGTATTATTTGGTTCTATTGCTAATGATTTGATAAGTTTCCCTCGTAATCTCATTATGCTTTTCTAACTTTTGATAAGTTCCCCTCATAATCTTAATTCAAGAGTATTATTTGGTTCTTTTTCTAATAAATTATTAAAATCTATTAATAATTCATTATAATTTTTTAAAAATAGATAAGTTTCCCCTGTAGTATTAATGAAAGAATATTATTTGGTTCTTTTTCTAATAAATCATTAAATTCTATTAATGTTTGATAAGTTTCTCCCCGTAACTCTAATGCAAGATAATTATTGGTTCTTTTTTCTAATGAATTATTAAAATCCATTAATGCTTTAGTGTAACTTCCTATCTTTCGATAAGTTTCTCCTCGTAGTCTTAATGCAAAGGTATTATTTCGTTCTTTTTCTAATAATTTATTAAAATCTGTTAATGCTTCATTGTACCTTACTAACAATAGATAAGTTTCTCCTCGTAGTCTTAATGCAAGAGTATTAGTTGGCTCCTTTTTTAATAATTTATTAAAATCTTTAATGCTTCTAGTCTCAATGATCTATTAAAATCTGTTAATGCTTCATTATATTTTTTGATAAGCTTCACCTCATATCCTTAATTCTAGATCATTATTTGGTTCTATTTCTAATAATTTATTAAAATACATTAATGCTTTATTATATTTTTCTAATTCTAAATAAGTTACCCCTCGTAAACATAATGTATGATTATTATTTGGTCTTAATCCTAATGATTTATTAAAGTACATTAATGCTTCATCATATTTGGTTCATCATGATAGGACATTTGATTAATAACACACAGTTAAAGAATTTAGTGAAATAAGTTTGGTAATTGCACAACTAAAATATTATTTTTTTATATCAAAGTTATATATATATATATATAGGCTGGCTCAATTATTTGTTTTTTTTATTTAATTTTCAAAACCGTTGTAAATAAAGAATTTCCTGACAATTTCATTGATTTTTACTTTACACAAACTTCAAGATTTTATGTTGTACTTTTATTTATTGGTGCAGCCTTGTAATTATTTGTAATTTTATTTTATTTTTAGGTATTAAAATTTTCTGGCAACAATTTCATTATTATCACAATCTTCATGGCATGGCACTATTATTACTTACACTTACTTACACTCTTGTATATTATATTGTCCAAAGAAGTTATTTAATCGTGAAGATTAATGTTAGATTTGTTCATAAAGATTTTACTATTCTTAAACATAACAACTAATTCAACATATATTAAATTCTATAAATCTCTATTCAATGAAATAACATTAAAAAATTATTAGGCATAAAAAATGAATTAATTATCAATGTTTTTATTAATAATAAACTACTCAATTAGAAATGACTAAATTATTAGTTCACATATCGGCACGAAATATTAAGTTAATAAATAAATTTATTTAAATAAAATCTCAATAAATATTTCAATAAATCAAAAGTAAAACAATGATAATAATAATAATAACAAAATTATTATTTAGATATCAAAATCAATCTCAAAATTTTCTTGAACTGATTTATAACCCTTAATTAAAAAAAAATTATATTAATGTTATAAGTGCATATTAATAATATAGAATGTTAATTTTTAAAAATTCAAAATAAAAAATTGTATAAATTAACTGGTTCCTTATAACCTGTAAAATTTTAAAAAAATTAATTACTAGGCATCAAAATTATTTTTAACATGGATTAAAATCTTACCAATCAATATCAACTTAGATAGTTCAATCATAGGGCTTAAGGTCTGCTTGTGTAAATAGCTTCTGAATGAAAACTGCTATAATTATTTCCTTCCCATTCTTCTAAAAGTTTCAATACAACAGAAATGTTTCTTAACTTTTCAGCTTGAATAAATTGATCTTGATTTTCTTTTCCCCAGCACCATTTATAACTTTGCTCTTTAATTTCTTTTATATTTGGTCTATTTACTGGATTTGAATCCCAACATCTAAACATTAAATCTCTAAACAGCTCTGGAGTATTATCAGTAATTTTTGGTCTTAATTCACCTATGATTTGTAAATGAGTTTAGAATTATGAGGTCTATTGAAAAATGGTTTATGACCTAATGTAAATTCCCACATTAGCATTCCAAAACTATATATCAGAAGCTTGACTATATGATGAATCTACAAATATTTCAGTAGTAACATAAGGAATTATTCCATATAATTTGTCAAAGTATCAATATTTCTACATAATCTAGATCAGCTATTCTAATTGAACCAAGAATTCCATTAACTCCCATCAAAAATGTTTCCTGAATGAAGATCTCTATGGGTGTGTTCACTTGCAAGTTTGGGTCAATCCAGATTCAATCCAGATTGATATCTGATTGACCAAATCCAAAATTAATCTAATCATGTTCTCGATAGTTTATGCATTTTATAGATTATCACTTTCATTATGATGAACACTAAACTTTTTTACTTGCAATAGATATCTTATATGAAACCTCTTCTTCCTCAAGTAACTCAAGTAGTTCAAGTGATGAGGAAATCAAAATTTTAACTGGAGTTGTCCAAACATTTCAAACTCTTATTTAAATAAATTTTAAAAAAAAATGAGAGAAAAAAGTAAAAAGTACAGTTTGGTTTACAAACATTTGCATGTAATGGCAAAATGAAGAATTTAGAAGGTATTTCCGATTTTGTAGAGATACTTTTGAATGGATTTTAAGAGAAATTTCACCTGAAATAACAGAAAACCATGGAATATCATTGCATCTAAACTTGGGTGCAACTTTGTGGTTTGTAAATTATTTTGTACAATTGCACAACAATTTGGTATTGGTGTTTCAACTTTTCATTATCATTTTAGAAATACTATTCAATTAATTATAAATTTATTTTTAAAAGAAAAAATCAAGTAATTTTCTTCAATTTATTTTTTATTTAAAAAAATATTTATAATATTTTCTATTTCAGATTTTTAACAAATAATAATGAATGGCAAAAAGTTATCAATGGTTTTCATCTATTAAAAGGTTTTTCACAAGTTATTGGAGCAATTGATAGAAGTCATATTTCTATTAGAGCACCATCTAAAATTATTTTAATAGAAAAAATTTATAGTGTAGTATTACAAGCAGTTTGAGATTCACAATACAAATTCATGGATATTTATTGTGGATTGACAGTGCAACTCATGATTCTCATGTTTTGCATAATTCTCCATTTTATTCTTCATTTAATAACAATTTGTTATTATGACCTTCAAAAACTTATATTTTAGGTGATAGTGGTTATGCTAATTATGATTGGCTTTTAGTACCTTATAAAGATAATGGACATTTAACTCAAGTTCAAAATCATTATAATTATATACATTCTACAACAAGAATCAAAATTGAACAAGCTTTTGGATTACTTAAATCACATTGGAGAGTGTTGCAAAATCCAATAGAAACAAATTTTAAAATAGTATCTCATATTGTAAGCTGTTGTTATATTCTTCACAATATTTGTGAAGAAATAATTGATGAATTTGATATTATTTCTGATCAAGTATTGATAAATAATGGAACAACTTCAGAAGTAAATATAATTAATGATACTGAAAGAGATTTAATAGCTGATTATATTTTTTCAAAATGAAACAAATGATTGATTTATCAAGATGATTCATTTGAAATAGAAGCACGAGGTAAATTATTATAAAATATATTTATTAATTTATATTTATTAATTTTAATTTTTATTTCACAAATTAAAGAAAATGGTTTAGAACTTGAATTAACAGGTAGTTTAATGAATTATTTATTATAAATTATATTATTAAAATTTTATTTATTAATTAATTTTATATTTCAAACAAAGAAAATGAATTGGAGATTGAATTACATGATAAAAATTAATAAAATTATTAAATTTTATTTATTAAAATTTTATTTACTAATTAATTTTATATTTTAAAACAAAGAAACTGAATTGGAAATTGAATTACATGGTAAGAATTAATGAAATTATTAAATTTATATTTTTAAATTTTATATTAATTAATTAATATTTTAAAATTAAGAAAATTAATCAGAAGAATTATAAAGTAAAAATTTAGTATATTATAATTTTAGTGAGGTTATTTAGAATTAGAATTATTTGAAGGTGGATTTTATAAATTGTTATTAAATTGATTTCTATTTTGTGAATTAGGATTATAATTATAATGAACAAATTGATTATTAATAAATTCAGAATTATTAAATTCAGTATTTTTTTGAGGGGGATTTTGAAATGTGTAATTAAGTACAGGTGATAAAGTGTTGGTTGTATATAAAGTACCAGAATTTTGTGGTTGTCCTAAAAAATAAACATATTAATAAAATTTTATAATATTAAAATATGAAATAAAATATTTTTTAAATAATTTACCATTCATACTATTGATAAGAAGTGACATTAATTTGCATCTTTCTTCATCTCTTCTAGCTTTTTCTTCAGCTTTTGTTTTCTTATTTCTTTTTTTTTCATCATCTTTGATTATTTTTTGTAGATAAAGGTTTTCAAGAATTTTGGTATATTTTTGAGTATCTGTTACTATTTTAGCAAATTTTTTAGATGTTAGTTCAGGTTCATTTTCACTATCTTCATCACTTGATTCTATCAAGGTTGATGTTTCAGTTGAAGTTACACATAATAAATGTTTTTTAGTTTGTCTATTAATAGTAATTTCAGTATTTTCAGTACTTGCTGAGGAAATAAGAGTAACTGGTTTAAATGTAGCCCTATTTTCATCCAAAATATCATCAAGTTCAGTTCTAAAAGATAAAACTACAGGTACTCCACCACTTTGCCTTTCAGAATCTTTTGCTTTCTATGTAAAATAATTAATTATTTTATTCAATTATAAAGAAATTTACAAAAATTATAAATATCTTATGTGATATTGTTAAATTTTTAAATTTATTATAACACTGTTCTTGGGAATATGTAATATCATATTGCTTTTTTAAATGGTCACTACACTCTAGCCAAAGTGGATGATTAGGGTTGGTTCAACCACACGACTTGTTTAAGATTACAATTTCTTGTTTGCACAGTGCCAAAAAAGTTAAAAGTGCTTTAGTAGAATTGGTATCCCACTTGGTTGTTTGCTTTCTTCCTTTATTTTTACATGAAGAAAGTGTAGAAGACTGATTTTCTATATCAAAAGTTTCATTGACAAAAGTATGATTTTCTTCCATTTTTTATAAGAATATTAAAAAATTTAACACAAATCTACCTTGTGAGGTAGATTGATATTTAATTAGTAATAATCCAATTCCAATCTGGATTGGATTTTGGATTTAGCAATCCAATCCAAAACATGTGAACATGATTTGTGCAACTTCAACCAATCTAATCCAAATCCAATTCACATGTGAACACACCCTATGTATCAGTTTATTATTATGAAATTGTTCAATTCTGTATAATATATAGTAATTAAAAGTTAGCATTTGCATTTACTTAATTAAACTTAATAAATTAATACATACCCTGCAGCAATACAATATAATCTTTCCAATTTTGTTTGACAAGTAATTTCATCAAAGTTTAGCATTAAGCCCCTATGCAAATTTCCATCTTCTACAAATTCCATTACCATAATATTGTTATTAGTATTAGGATCTTTTGTAATTCCATAGCATTGTATAATAAAATCATTAGAACTTATTATTCCATAAGATATTACCAATTTAATTGTTAAATCAAATTTATTAATAAAATTCCAAAAAAAAAATAATAAATTAATTAACATTTAAATTAAGTGAATTTAAAAAGACAAGACATACTTTTTTTCAAAAAATGACCTGTCAAATATGTAGGTTCCATATTAGAATGGTCACAAATCTCTGAGAAAAGAAATTGATTTTTTTATTGACAAATGAAAATTTTCATTTTTTGCTTATTCTTTTACTACTACAAAAAAATAAATTATAACAATGCTGTGCTGCCTTTGAGTAGAGTTGAGTTGTGACATCAGAATATCAGGCAAAAATTATTTTATTCTTCACTCTTTCAAAATAAAGTATGTTACATATTGAATCAACAGAGATTATTGAATCATGAAGATTAATATAAAACAAGTGAGGTGTTCAAACGTAACAACAACTATTCATTACAATAAAAAAATAATAAACTACTTGATTTAATCAAATGGCTCAATAAATACAGTTATTTAGATTACTTTAAATAACATATCGACGCAATGATAAATATTTTTTAATAAAATAATCATTACAAGATATAAAATTTTCAAAATGAAATAATAGATCAAATAATAAAACAATAATACTTGAATAAATCTCAAAATTTTCTTAAACCAAAAAAAAAATGTTAATAATTTAGGATGCCAATTTTAAAATTCAAAATAAAAAAAAAAAATGGAGGTTTTTAATTGTTGAGAGATATATAATATTTCCCTTGAAGAAGGAATTAAAGCCGAAAATTCACCTGTCAAATAGTACGAAAATTATTTATCTGAAGGATTAAATAATTAATGAGAAAGATCAACTTAAAGCTTCTATTAATTTCGATACGCGTCGAGTTGGTTTTTTTTTTTTAATATTTAAAAATTGTTGTTGATAATGCATAATTTAATATGACCGCTCATGAAACGTTGAATTTTTCACAATAAATAAATAAAAAAAATAGATAGAAATATATATCAATCCGATTAAAGAACAATGTATATGATGATTTTATTTATTTATTTATTTTTTAAATTCAATATAAATAAATCTCAATAAAAGAACTTGGTTGTGGTTTCTTCATTCTAGAATTTATACTTTTAGCCAAATCCCAATCTTGTTCAATAGTTACGGAAATTTTCTCACCAACCATTGGATCATAATATTCGATCCATGACGGTGAGAAATTAAATTTCTCTCTAACCAATGATAAGAATTCATTTATTGATCCATTACTAGGGAATGGAAGAACATGTCGGGTTTTATTGAAAATACATAATAAATAGATCTATAAAAAATTAAAAATAATAAATAAAATGCTAAATGTACTTAATGTATTATATATGTACAATATTGATACTACAATTAATTACCTCAAATTTTATTCGTGGAAAAGAATTATTAACTCCTTGAATCTAAAATTAAATTAATAAATGTATAAGATATTTATTTGAATATTTAAACCAAGAGAAGAAGATTACGGTTTTATTACCAAATTGGAATCTTTCGAGAATTCATTCTCATCATCTTTAAAACATATTCTATTGAGTCCCGCTTCCAATATAATCAATCTGTTCGGATGTTCCGTGTTTTTTGGAAACATTTGAAATTCCACTGCGTCAGTAATTATTCCTCTCGTCGGATCTTCTGTTGACATCAAAGGACTTTTGATGTAAGGAAATTTATCGGAATGTTCGTAATACTTTTAAAAAATAAAATATAAAGAATTGTGTTACGTAAGTTGTACGCGCGTCATAGAAAGAAAAAATTATTACAAAATAACAATGTCATAATTACATAATAATTACATAATCAATATTATAACAAATAAATAAATAAACATTTTTTTACCGTTCTACGAAAACCATGATTCATCACGATACCAAAGATTCCTTCATCATATTTGATCCCTTTTAATTGATCAAATGGAATCCTTATTTCATTTTTATATCCAAATAAGCATAAAGATAATTCTTTCCTTTGATACATAACCAATAATGAAATCATGTCAGTCCTTGAATAACATGAGATTGTATACGTCTTATTTTCTTTGTTACGAATTATAATTTTATCGATGTCAATTTTCATAACGAGTTCATTTCTTTTATTATTTTTTCTATTTTTTCGAATGATTGATGAATTATTAGGCAGCTTTGTTGTTGTTATGGATGTGGTGGATAATGTCGTAATGGATACCGTTGATGTGATGGTTAGGGGTGAAGAATTTGGTTCCACGGATTTTTGTAATTTGAATTCTTGTAATAATTGTGAATTTGATTTGATGGGATTTTGTTCTGGATCTAGAATTTTTTTTTTTAGTATTATTTATATTATTATTATTATTTAAAAAAATTCTGCTGATATAATATTATTATTAAAATTTCATTTACCCGAAAAATCAATTAAATCCTTTTCTTCATGCATTTTTTTTTTATTATTTTCTTGAAAAAGTTACAATTTTAAGGGAAGAGTACGTAATTATGAGTAAAAAAATCAGGAGGACTTAATTTATACTCAACTATGGTCATATGATCTAGAACGCCATATTTGGATTGCGAGATAATGAGTTAGATAATGAAATAATAATAATGTTTAATAATGAAACAATAATAATAATAATAATAATAAGTTAAATAAAGCTAAAGATAAATTTCGTTTAATAAATCAGAATAACTTTTTTTGATTCTCAATTAGAATATCTAATATATATGTTTGATAGATATGTCTGAATGATGTATTTAACTTTAACGAAAATTTAAAATAATTATATCATATTAGTAAGATTTAAATATATAAAAAGTATTTAGATATTTTCTCATTTTTTCTTTTTGATCAGTGTTTCTTTATTCTTCTTCTTCTTTATTATTAAATTATAAATAATAATAATAATAATAAAAAAAGATGGACACTTATGAAGATAAAACTACTGAACATGCATCTTTTAAAAGTGCCGATATTAAAGAATCTTCGGAAGATTTTTTAAAAAATGTTTATCATAATATGCCGAATTGGTTGCAAGTCTTTGGGAATTATATTTATGAATTGGCCTCCAAATACCAAATTTTATCAGATTTTTCAATATCTTTCGCATTATTCTTCACGCTTCCTTTTGTTCTCTTTTTACTTTGGTCAATTGGTTCCCTTGTTTCTACAATTATTATTTGTAAGTATTCTTTTTTTTTTTTAATTTTTTTTTTTTTTTAAATTTATTTATTTTTATTTTATTTATTTTTATTTTATTTATTTTAATTATTCATTAATTTTTTTTTTTAACTAATTAATTTTAATAATATTAAATTTATAATATTTCACTAATTTCTTCGTTGACCTTTATTTTTGAATTTAATTATTTTTTAATAAATAATTCCTTAATAAAGGGGCAGTCGCCTATACAGCAATGAATGGGTTAACAATAGGTTTAGGTATTCTAGTACTTATACCAATTTTTTTTATCGCGACCATAAGTGCCGCAATTGTTACGTTCATTATTACTTCTGGTCGTCTTACACTTTTGGCGGGTATTAAAATTTATAAATATATCATGAACTTTCTTGGGTCTCGGGGTATTTCTATTTCACCTAATTTTGATAAGGGGAATTTTGAGAAGTAAACAATTACTTTTACCTCAACATCAATTTCATAAATTTCATCAATTACAACAATATAATCGACAACTAAGAACACAACAACAACAACAACAACAACAAATTTCACGACGACGACAACAACAACAACGAAGAAGGTTAGCTAATTATCGTAATAATAATGAATATAATGATTATCAATTAAGAGTAAGAAGAAATGTTTCAATCGAAGGAAGTGTTCATCGTCATCGTCATAATAATTATAATTATCATAATGATGTTGGTGACGACGAGTGGTTAAAAAAATTGAAAATATATTTTAAAAATATTTTATATCTCCCTTTTGTTTTATATTACACTTTTCGTTCTTTGGCCGGTGGTTTTATTTTAGTTACTGTTGGGTTGTATACAATCTATATGTTTTGTGAACATTTTTTTACTTAATTTTTTTTTTATATTATTATACGTGTAACGAATTTTTATCGAACAATAATTCTTTTCTATTTTTTCTTTTTCCGTTCTTTAGAAAAAAATAATAAAACAATTTGAATTAATTATTAATTGAATTAGTTTATTTAATAAATGATTTGTACACTGCCTGCCTGCTAAAGTAATTTGTAATTAAACCGATCACATGACATTTCAAACCGATTTGCATTGCATTGCATATAAAGTATAATATAACAGATGGCAATCTGTAAAATATTAATTATTAATTATGTATTGGGCGAATGGAATTGCAAAAGTATTAGAAGTTTATTCACCAGACTATAGAACATTCAATTCAATCTTCGATGAGAATGAAATTTTCGTAGACGACGACGACGACGAAGCTACTTCATTAGTAGAAGAACCCGAAAATACTTTAACATTTACTAAAGATACTATTACAGATACTACTACTACAAATACTAGAGAAACTACAAAAACTACAGTTACTACAAATAATAATACTACTACAGATAATAATACAACTACTACTGCTAATACATTTGCGATTTTAAGACTTAAAAGAAATAAAGCGGGAAATTTATTCGTTACCTTAACGAAAAATTCTTTACAGTTATGGAGCATTCGGGTAAATATTGAGTTATTATTATTATTATGATTGGATTTTATTTCATTTTTATGATATGTACACTTTGATTAAAAGACAAACATAAAAAGAAAGATCAATCAAGAAGCGAATTGAACTAATTTGGAACTTTATATAATATAATATAATAATAAAATTATAATAATAATAAAATTATATCTGATAAATACAAATTCAATATATATATATATATATATATATATATATAATTACATATGATAAGCCTACCGCATTAATATCACAAGTAACAAGAACAAAGAAATCAATCGAAGAATATGGAGAAAATGTTGACATGTTTTGGAAACCTGATGGAAGTCTTGTCATTGTTCAAGTAAATATAAAATCTTTTATTCGAATTCATCATTCAATCATTCATTTATTTCGATCATTCGTTCATTTCACTCATTAATTCATTCATTTACTTATATAAAAAAGACAAGTCAAAATTGTTTATTCACATATTCCGTACTTCCTTTTGATGATAAAAGTTATAAATATCAATTTGGACAAATATCGCATCATTATGTTACGGGAGCAGGAGAAGGAAATGGGATCAAAACATTTTTATTAAAGTTTAGGATGACCATTAGAATAGATGCTGGAATGGAGGCGTGAGTAGGTTTTATTTTCCATAATCATAATAATAATTTATTTTTAAAATTTATTATGTTTATTTATTATTATTATATATATAATTATTTATATATAATTATTATAATTATTATAGTGGAATAGGGACTGATGAATATTTAATTGTTACAACCAAAACCCCACCAGCAATTCAATGTATACCATGGCATAGTGAACCTACTTCTACAAAAACAAATATATTAGCTCGATTAGAATTTTTAGAATCAAAAAAAGGTGTGTGTTTTTTGTGTATATGATTAAGTATATGATTAAGTATATGATTAAGCATATTACTAATAATATCGTTACTTTAATATTTTTAGCTAGTATAAGTCATATGGTGTATGATCGTCGAATAAATCTTTATGGATGGATTACTACTGATGGCAAAGCTTATGCTGTTCAATTTATTGAACATCGACCTTCTGTAAGTTTTGGTTTTATAATTTTTGATTCTGAAGAGATGACAGGAGAGATGATAATATTTTTTTTTTATTGTAGATTGAAAATAATAACAAAACCTCACCATTATATTGGATGGGATATTGTTTTCATGCCTGTGGTAGTGAAATAGAAAAATCACCGGAAATTAAAGCTAGTTGTATAGCTATAAATGCAAAATTTTCTTTATTGGCAGTAGGAACTCAAGGGTTTGTCTAATGAAAATAATAATGATGATAATAATAATACATTGAAAATAATAATAATAAATAATAATAATAATAATAATAATAATAATAATAATATAAAAGTAATTCTTATTAATAAATTTAGAAAGCAAAAAAAAAAATTATTATTAAATTATTTCTTAATCTAATAAAATTTTTTACTACTACAAATCAATTAAAAATAGGGGACACATTTATGTATATTTTGCTAAAAATTATAATGGAGCTATCGATATTTCACATAAATTATCTATAATAGAAAATTTGGAGTCATCTAATATCCTTTAATTAATTAATCAATTAATTAATTAATTTATTTATTTATTTATTCAATTCTTTTATTGTCGTTTTCGTTTATCGAGAATTGTAAATAATTATCCTTAACCTTTATTAATACCCATCTCTACAGGACCTGTTACATCGTTAGCCTGGACATCCGACGGTCATGCTATTGCTGTAGGATGGCAAAATGAAGGAATGGCTGTTTGGAGTGTTTATGGTAGATTATTGATGACAACCATTAGAGATGATGGCCTACAATCAATGTAAATTATATTATTATTTGTTATGATTATGAATTTGTTGATAATTTATTTATTTGTTTGTTTGTTTATTTTTTGTTTCCGTTATAAAGGTCAAATACGCGAGATTTATTTTTACGTGGTGTTACTGATATGGTATATGTTCTATACATTTTTTTTTATATTTATTTTATACATTTTTTATTTATTTTATACATTTTTTGTTTATTTTTTATTTATTTTATACATTTTTTATTTTATTTTATACATTTTTATTTATTTTATACATTTTTTTATTATGAAATTTAAAAGTTCTGGAGTTCAGGAAATTGTGAACTCTTTATTTTGCACAGTGAAAATACAGAAAAAGGTAAATATAAGTATAAAATATATAACATAAATATATAATATATAATATTAATATCTATTTTTTTTTAATTAGAAGGTCAATTGTATGCTCTCCCATTTGCAAAATCAGCTACCACGACAGTTCATAGTCCAGTTGAGTTTAATTTTTTTTTATGATTTTCACTCCTCATAATTATATAAATTAAATAAATCAACTCATTATTATTATTTTATTTAAAAATAAATATTAGGATAATGCCAAAAGAGGATTTTTACAAATGGATGATCGTCTCTTACTTTATCGTGGTGGTGATCAAGAAGAAGATTTAAGCACAATTAATCCTGATACTATCGTCTGGCAACATATTCCTGTAAATTTTAATTATTTTTAATTATTTTTAATTATTTTTTTAATTATTTTTTTTTATTTTAATTTAATAATGAGATAATTTGTGGGTTATCTTATTTTATAATAATAGATACCAATCATGTATATCAGTGATAATTGGCCTATAAAGGTTGGCGTGATATTCAATATTTATTTGATATCTATTCAGTATTTATAAAAGTTGTTTAATTACATTTTCTTTTTTTGGAATCATTTTTTTTATAGTATTCCTCAATAAGTGGAGACGGAAGATATATCGCAATTGCTGGACGACGTGGATTAGCTCATTATAATGTTTATTCGGGACGTTGGAAATTATTTGGTAATCAACAACAGGTATATTAATGTTATATTTTATTATCCGTATCACGTGAATGTCTTGAGAGAATATCTTAAAAAATACTAATAATAATTATTATTATTATATAAATATTATCAAGGAACAAGAATTTGCAGTTCGTGGTGGATTATTGTGGTTTAAACAGATTTTGGTCGTTGCTTGTGAAAACGTGAGATTACATACATCTGAGGTATATATTTAATTTATATTAATTTATTCATTATTCATTTTTTATTTATTTTTTTTTTTTATTTAGTATTTATTAATGTATTTTATTTATTTACTTCATTTTACCTTACTTTTTTGATTAATGATAATAGATTCGAATGTATTCACGAGAAACAAAATTAGATAATATTTATATGATACAAAATATTCCAATACCCAATCATATATTATATTTAAGTATAGTTGGTAATGCGTTACTTGTTTATTGTGCAGATAACATGATGTATCATTACCTTATGACTTCACCATTATCATCAACGGCACTATCACAAGATAATAATAATATTGATGGGGTTGTTGGTAATGGAAATTTAAAATCATTACAGATTGAATTATGTCAACAAATTTCTTTTGTTGGAGTAATAAATGCTCCAGCTAGAGTTAGATCTATTTCTTGGTTTCAGCCAAAATTACATAGTAAGTTATTATCTATATATATATATATTATTCTTCTTCTTATTCTATATATCATTCTATATATTAATTAATTAATAATAATATTATTATTATATTATTATAGGACCATTTACTCCGGAAACAATACAATCAGCTTCAATAATATTTTTAATAGATGGTAAACTTGTTTTACTTCATCCTAAAAAGGTTTGTATCAAATATGCAATTTTAGGATGGCAATTTTAGGATGACAATTTTAGGATGGCAATTTAGGATAATTTTGATTTTTATATATTAAATTAATGACATTAAATAATATTAATATTATTATTACTTGTTATTATTTATTATTAGAGTGATGAAGGAGAAGTACAATATGATTTACACATTCTTGCTGACAAAATTGAATTTTATTGGATGTCTACACGTGGGGTAGGCAGTTTAAAAAATTCTTTATGGGCATGTGACGGTCAAGGAGTTAAGGTAAAATTTATCACCGAGTTATGATTTCGTGACTATTTGGGATGTGATTACACGAGATTACGTGTAATTATGTGTGATTATTGTGATTATTATAGAGATCTGATCATCATTATTTTTATTAATTTCTAAGATATGGATGAATATATGGTCAAATGAAGAATCTGCAAGAGACTGGCAAAATGACGTTTTACTTTCTTCTACCAAAGAAAGTCTACGCATCTCTCTGGAATTTTATCCTTTATGTTAGTAATATTACTTGATATTATTATTATTATTTTTTTTATCATTATTAATTAATTAATTATTTATTTATTTATTTTATTTATTTAATATTACTATTAATAAATTATTAACTAATAAATTTAGCGGTTTTACTTGATAAGGGTATAATTGTTGGTGTCCAGCAACAAACATCTATTCGACAATCCCTTGAATTTACAGTTTTTAAATTAATGACCAATGTAAGTCATCATCGTAAGTTTACTTAACCTTTTTTTAATTTCCTATTTTTGAAATTATTTGAATTCATCTAAAATTTTATTTTTTATTTTCTCGTTATTTTATTAGACACATTTATTCTTACAACATATATTGAGATATATGTTAACTAAAGAGTAAGTTCCTTTTTTTTTAAAAAAAAAAAATAAATAATAATAATAATAATAATAATAAACATATAAACAGAAGCAAGATTAATTTTTATATCTTTTTTTTTCTAACTAGATTTGAGATAGAAGCAGTTCTCTTTGCAATGAGTTATCAAAAATTAGTATATTTTGGGCATGCATTAGAAATGCTCTTACATCAGGTTTTAGAAGATGAAGCTGAACTTTCTGTGGGAACAGCAAGATGTAAATTATTATATATATTTTTATTTATTTATTTAAATATTAATATTTTAATTAATTAATTAATTATTAATTTATAGGGGCAGTTTTACCACGTGTTGTTAAATTTCTTAATAATTTTCCTCACGCACTTGATGCTATTGTGGGTTGCGCACGTAAAACTGAGGTTGCATTATGGGATTATTTATTTTCTATTGTCGGTAGTCCAAAAGATTTATTTGAGGTAAATAAAAAAATTCCTTCTTTCATCTCTTTATTTTTTAATTCTTGTCTATTCTAATTTTTTTTTTTTTTGTCAAATTCTAATTAGAAATGTATGTCTACTGGATTACTTAAAACGGCTACCTCATATTTATTGGTTCTTCACACATTAGAACCATCATCTGATAATAGCAAGGTAATTAATTAAATTAAGATAAGAAAATATCAAGATTAAAAATTCTGTATTTAATAATTTATTTATATAAAATATTAGGATACTATTCGATTGTTATCTAAAGCCATGGAATCAGAAGATTATGAAGTAATAATAAATATATTTATCGTGATATTCGTAATTTTTAAATGTTTGTTCATTTTATTAATGATGATTAATGATGATTATATTTTTACAGTTAAGTAAAGAACTCATCAGATTTTTGAATTCTATAGATGGTACGTTATTATATAAATCCTTTCTTTTCTTCTTTTCTTTCTTTCTTTCTTTCTTTCTTTCTCTTCATAAATTCTATCTCTTTTCATATAATTAGGTTCTGGAAATACTTTGAAAGAAGCGTTATCAACAATTCAATTATCTATTTAATCCTTTGTGACAATTAATCTATTATTAATAAGACTATTATTATTATATCTTTATTCTAATTTTTTCATTCTAATTTATTTTCTTTAATTATAAAATTTTTTCCTTTCTATTATAGAATACTTTTTTTTAATGTAAAATTGATGTTAACAACAATAAATTTAAACAATATAATATAATATAAATTATACAAATTTACCATTCAAACGAAATGTTTAAATTGACTTTTGATTTCCAATTCTATGTAATAACAAAGTAATGCGTTAAACATTTTCGCGTGCAAAGGTACTGTACACTTATTTTTGAGTAACTAATATGAGTTTTCACATAATTTATAAATAATAGAATCATGTGAACATCGAATAATTAGTTGTCTATCAAAAATGAGCGTCCTTATTCTGGACCCCTGGTTCAGTGTGAAATTTATGAACCCCCGGGGTTCAGGCAAATTATTCTAGACCCATCCTTTTTAGTAATAAAAATTTCCAAAATTAGGGACTAAGATTTGATTGGAAGATTTTGCGAAATAATTATCATTTTTTATTTTTTCAAAACTCCAAGTAATATATATTAATATACCATAATATTTTTTTTTTGTTCCAATTGCATTATTATTTAGCACTATTATTTATTACTCTCTTATTTTTATACACAAACTTTATTTATAACCCTTCTATTAAATATTTATATATTTATTTACAATTACTATCATATATTAAATTAACTTAACCCTATATATTATAATTTTATTTTATTTTTAACCCCACTCAAAATCACTAATTTAGTAATATAGATACTCTAAAAATAATAAAAACTTGACCCAACCACTTGAAAACTAGTAGAAACAATAAAAAAAAATGAAGTATTATCTGCCTTTAGTTTTATAAATCCCTCTTGAACCTTGAAATTATCTTTTTTTCTTGTCTAGATATATAAAACAGTACTGCGTCACACAATTTAATTATAAAAACTGACCTAAAAATAATCAAAAAACAGTAGTTAGTATTCATATACATGAAGAAACAATAAAATAAACATTACAATATTCCTGTTAATCTCCTTGAACTTTGAAAATACCTCATTATAATTTTGTTTTATTTTTAATCCTACTCAAAATCACAATCTATAAAGTAAAAACAGACAATTTAGTAATTAGATTTTTTAAAAATAATAAAAACATGACCCAACAACTTGAAAACTAGTAGAAATAATAAAATAAATGAAGCATTACCTACCTTTAGTTCTATAAATTTCTCTTAAACTTGAAATTGCCTCTCTTTCTCCTTTTTGTCTGTGTTAACACCATGAACCTAAAAAAAAAGATTATCAGCTTTAGGTGTAATAATTATTAAATATTTTAATTAATCATAAACCCAGTTAAAATAAAGAAAAGGAACTAACCCCACGAAACAATTTGATTCAAAAGAAAATATTCAAAACGAAAATAATAAAAATAATAATAATAACAAAATAAACAAAGATTATTTATTTGATGGGTTGTACAACTAAAATTTAACTTTGATATTTATAAATTAAGAAAGGATCTAGACAAAATGACTTAAACTCTGGAGTCTAGTTTAAGTTTTCTCTAAATTTATTATTTTTTGTCAATTTTATTTGAAGTATAATTTCTCTATGTAAAGACGTTCAATTTTATCACATAATATATTATATGATAGCCCTAGTTTAGGGGAATCTAATAAAAAAAGTTTGTACAATTTAGATCACTCATTGTGTTACAATTAGCATTTTAATTTTAGTAATTTTTTTAAAAATTTTCAGGTGGTCCAATACTTTTAACAGGGGAGTGTACAATATACCAAATACTGGATATTTCAGAATAAAAGCTACTATAGATAAAACGTGACAACAATATTTTTGACTGACAATGGGTGAAGACATATGAAATTATATAAAGATATGTGATATTTGTCAAAGACAGGGTAAACCTAAACAGACTGAAGTACTATAACCTATTGGAGTAGGACAAGTTTTTGATTGATTAGGGATAGATATCCACTGGTCAAAAATTAACAAATAATACAAATATCGGATACCTGATATATGTATAGTACGTCCCTAATATCGAGGTAAGATGGAAAGGTGTGGAGTCCGGTCAATCATATAAGTGGTGTATACCCTAAAAATTGATATTAAGTACGGTGTACCTAAAAAAACATACAAAAAGAGTACTATACAAATTTGTACATTGTACAAAATTGTATACTGTACAAATGTGTACAGAATAAAAAAATTTTTGGTACTCTACATCTTATCTTTGTTAATAAATTAACATTCGAAATGTGTGATGTCTGTTCATTAAAATTTTACTCAATTGTAGAATAAATCAATTAAAATTATACAAAAGATGTCACATTTTTTAAGTAAATTCGCGTTCAAATATATATTGCCTTTTTTTTTTTTCTTTCTTTTTAAAAAATATTTTGAAATGAAAATATTACTTATAAATACAATTGTTTCTGAAGTGAATATAATTTATGAGGAAGACTTTAATGAAGAAGTATACTAATATTTTGTATTTTATATTTAATTACAAGAAAAATAAAATAATAAAATTTTATTATTTAGTCTAGCAATACATCGTTTGAAAATGAAGAAGAAGTTTATATTACAAAAAATACATCTGTTGAAACTATATTACATTCTTTAACTCCTATTGGGTATTTACCAACAAGTATAAATGGTGTAGCTATTATTTTTCATGTTGAAGGATGGCAAAATGCAGATGCTGCATTCACTGATG